TGCCATAATTGCACTGATGAGCTGACTAATAAGGAACAATGTGATCGAGACAAGGCACGATCAAGATATTTTTTTTTATTATTATTCCCCCCAAGAAGCGGTGAAGAAATCGGCCAGGTGACATGTGCGGGTGACTTCTCCACTCAGGTTCAAACACTTGGCTGAGGTCAGGATAGAGTCATGTTCACCGGAAAAACAAGGGAGCATACAAGGGAGGGTGGGGTTTGAAATATCCTTTTCCAAAATCTCATGTTAATTAAAGACTCTTTGCATCTCACTAACCCCACCCATGGCATTTAAAACATATCCTGCCACGGTGTGGGCGTGAGGTTGAGCTCATATTGACCTATCTGTAGAAAGTGTATCTCCCATGTAAACATTGCAGATCCGATGAAGACCTGCGGAGTCAGCCCTGCAATCCTGCGATTAGGCGTCTTCAAGCAGCAGACTTAACCAATCTTTCTTTCAAATCCCATCTCCAAACTGCCACCTCAAAAAGACTTTCATTGCCTCCCTATCTTATCGTTTATTTGTTAATGTATCATTCATTGCATAAATAAATAAATTGTAGGTCATGTGAATCCCTGAGGGATCCGGGTGCTCTTAGGAACCTCTTGAAGAGATCCTGGCTGAGGAGCATATTATTATTATTATTATTATTTTATTGAAAATTTTATGAACTTTTTACAATAAAATACCTCCCCCCCTCCAACCCCCCATGACCCTCCCCCCTCCTTCCCAGAGCTGAATACAGGGTTTAAAAAATAAAAAAAAACATACAAGTTAAATGAACATCAATCAACTATACATACATCCAAAAAATTTAAAGTACTTTAACTCCAATACATAGAAACAAGTCCAACCATAACATAACAATAAAAAAAAGAAAAATACCCATTTTAAACTATAAATTATTCAAGAGCTAAATAATACTTTCTAATCCTATATTTATTCTGTACAAAATTTGCCCATCTTTTCCACACCGAGATATATCTCTCTTGTGAATGGTCTTTCAGATAAGCTGAAATTTTTGCCATTTCTGATAAATAAGAAACTTTTAAAAACCATTCTTCTATACTAGGCAAGGAATCTTTCTTCCAATATTGCCCAATCAATAACCTTGCCGCCGTAATAAAATTCAACATTAAAATAATCTCTTTGCCATCACAATCTTCAATAATACCTAACAAAAATAATTGTGGTGTAAATTTTATCCTTCTATTAAAAATCTTCTGAATGTTCCACCAAATCTTAATCCAAAAAGCCTTTATATTTCTACATGACCACCAGATATGGTAGTACGTTGCATCCAAACAACCACATCTCCAACATTTGGGCTGTACATTCGGATACATACAAGACATCTTTTGTGGATCCAGGTGCCACCTATAAAACATTTTATAAAAATTTTCTCGTAAATTTTGAGCTTGGGTGAACTTAACATTCCTCACCCAAATTACCTCCCATGTATCTAATAAAATCGGCTCTTCAAAATTTTGAGCCCATTTAACCATACACTCAAGATCAAAGCGGTTGGACTCCTGAATATCCTATTTCAGATTATAAAATAAGGGACTGAAGCCTAGAGCACTACGATAAAGAAAATGGTTAGCAGGGCTTGACTTTGCCTTGAAAGCCAAGTAGACAAGCGCCTTTAGCTGAAAAAGCTAATGCAATCCTTGGTTGCATAAACAGAGAATCAAAATCACGTGAAGTATTAGTACTGCTTTATAAAACCTTAGAAAGGCCACACCTGGAATACTGCATCCATTTTTGGTCACCACCTTACAAAAAAGTTGTTGAAACTTTGGAAAAAGTGCAGAGAAGAGCAACTAAGATGATTAAGCGCCTGGAGACTAAAACATGATGAATGGTTGCAAAAACTGGGTATGGCTGGTCTAGAAAAAGGAAAGACTGAAGGTGACATGATAGCAGTCTTCCAATATTTGAGGGATGGCTGCAAAGAAGACGGGGTCAATCTATTTTCCAAAGCACCTGAAGCATGAGAAGAATTCATGGATGAAAACTAATCAAGGAGAGAAGCAACCTAAAACTAAGGAGAAATTTCCTAATAGTGAGAACAATTAATCAGGGGAATGGCTTGAGTTCAGAAGTTTGGGGTCCTCCATCACTGGAGGCTTCCAAAAAGAGACTGAAATGGTACAGGGTTTCCTGCCTGAGCACAGGGTTGGACTAGAAGACCTCCAAGGTCCCTTCCAGCTCTATTCTCAGTGATTGAAAATAAACCTTTTTTCCTTTCCTGGGATTTATGTCAGTACATCATTTCTGCCTGCGTCGTGATTTTGCTGCATCAGAAATACAGTTCAGCATCTTCTGGCCTGCTTAAACTTCACCAAAAGACATCAAAAATGGAGAACCAAAGAAGAAATAGATTCTAACCAAAATTACTCCTTTCTATCAAGCAAAGCTGATTTAATGATAACGTTCACCGGATCCTGTGTAGCAAGGCACCATTGCAGCAAATGCTAATTTTGAAGGGCAGGGACAAGTTGCTGCAAATTGCTGGACTTTTAAAGCTGAATTTAGACAGGAAAATCCTTTAAACAAAGTGAGGACTCTGCTCTACTCCTGGGTCATCCAGACATTTGCTTGTTTAAACACAGACAAGAAGAAAAGGGTTAGGTGTCAGGCCTGAATGATATAAGAATGATGCATTCACATGTTTTTCTTGTGATCAAGAGAGTGGAGAGAAGAATCAGACAAGAGAGAGGCTGCTTATATACATGGTCTACTTATGTCAGTCATTCCACTGTCTAATCCAGTGTTACTCAACCTCTACAACGTGAAGACAACTGGATTTCAACTCCCAGAATTTCCCAACAAACCATGTTGGTTGGAAATTCTGGGAGTTGAACATAGAATAATAGGCTGGAAGGGACCTTGGAGGTCTTTTAGTCCAGCCCCCTGCTCAAGGCAGGAGCTTTACACTGTCCCAGTCAAATGATTGTCCAGTCTGTTTTTCAAAATCTTTAGTGATGGAGCGCTCACAACCCCAGCAGGCAAGCTGTTTCGTTGATTAATTGTTTTCACTGTCAGGAAATTTCTTCATCCTAGGTTGAATCTCTGTTTAACAAGCTTCCACCCATTACTTCTTGTCCTGCCCTCAGGTGCCTTAGAAAATAAGTCAAATCTTTCTTCTCTGTGACAGCCCCTCAAGCACTGAAAGACAGCTTTCATGTACCCCCTAATACTTCTCTTCATGAGGACCCAGATTGTTGGGGGCAACAGGCTGACTCTGTAAACCGCTTAGAGAGAGAGAGGGCTGAAGAGCACTCTGAAGCGGTAGATAAGTCTAAGTGCTATTGCTATTGCTGTCATCTATATATCATATCTGTCTGTCTGTCTCTCTATTTATCTCTATCGTCTATTTATCATAGATGATAGATGAGCCCTGGTGGCACAGTGGTTAGAATGCAGTATTGCAGGCTAATTCTGCTGACCGCCAGGAGTTCGATCCTCACCAGCTCAAGGTTGACTCAGCCTTCCGTCCTTCCGAGGTCGGTAAAATGAGGGCCCAAATTGTTGGGGGCCACAAGCTGACCCTGTAAACCGCTTAGAGAGGGCTGCAAAGCACTGTGAAGTGGTATATATGTTTAAGTGCTACTGCTGTTGCTAGAGATACCTAGTTTCCTTAGCTTAGCTGTTCATCATACAATTTAGCCTCCAGACCCTTCGTCATCTTCATTGCTCTTTGTGCACTTCTTCAAGTTCCAATGTCTTCAAATTGCCAAGGTTGAGAAGCCCTGGTCTAAGGCAGTAGCTCCCAACTGGTGGACCATAGTTCACATATGGTACACAGGGAAGAATCCAAGAATTCAAGCTGGTAGTTATGTCCAGGAAATCTACAGTAAATCCTTTCCCATTTTTTACATAGGGTAGGTCTTCGATTATGTAGTTATAGCTGTCATGTGTTAAAATTCTTTTTGACACACCCATATGCCCTCCTGAGCTCCTGTACCAAAGGTAGGATATATTTTATTTATTTATTTAAAATATTTATATAGTTGCCCATCTTCCAACCAACTCTGGGCAGCCCCCAGTCAAAATATAAATATATCAAAATTAAAATATAAATACATTGACCACACTTTCTTGGATAAAGTGCAAATCTGAAAGCGGTTCATAAATATAAATAACTATTTATCTATAATAACTAGATAAATAAACTATTTATGTTTATAGCTGCCTTATAAAGGAAAATTCAAGAGCAAAACTGAGAAAAAAAATTACAAAAAGATATATTTTAATTTAAAAAAAATCTAAAATCAAACAGTATACATCAATTTATTTTTTAAAAAATTCAGTACATTAATGGGTACCATTTGCATGGTAAAAATTAAATGACCAAATAACCAAATGACCAAAATAAAGAACAAAAGTAATTTTTGGAAAAATAAATAACTCTAAGGATAGCTTTCTGAAATAAAGGCTCTTTAAAATAATGGATCTGTGATCACTGCAGATGTATAAATCAAATGAATAAATCTGATTTACTAAAAAAAAAATGTGTAAGATTATTCACCCACAAAGTGAGTTTCTGGCCAGCATACAGGATTTAAAAAAACAAACTCTGGTGTTTTTTTTTTACTAATGTTACACTGAGCATTACTGTATAAATTCAAGGATAAGCCAAGAATTTTAAGTTCCAAAATAGACCTCAAAATTGGCTTCAGCTTATTAGCTTTGCTACTGAATATACACTCACACTCACATACGTACACATACATACATTTGAGACTAATTTTGAAAAGTCAGTCACTTCTTCCTCAAAGTCATAAAAACCAGTGAAAGTATAATGAGACACAAAGGTGGGTATTTCAAGAAGGACTCCATCAAGCAACATCAAAGGGCTTCCAGCCAGAGCTCCAGAATGCTTTGATATCTTCAGATCTAAAGGAGAAACCCAGTTCTGAAACTGAATTCTTCCCAAAGGCTTGATGTTATTAAGTCTTGGATGTGTGCCCGACCTGAATTAAGCAAGTCAAGAACCATCTTCCTTCTGAAATGGTGATACTTCCACATGAAGCCTCAGGTGATGAACACGGATTATTTTCAGTTGATTTCCATGTCAAGCACAAAACAAAACACTCAGCTTAAAAAAAATTAATAAGTCCCGGCAAACATGTTTTCCCACATTCCTTCCAAGGATGTTTGCCACAAATCTTTGGAGGAGGCTGGAGCTCTTGGCGGGGTAATTAAATGTTCCTGCCACTCCAGTATTTCCTTCCTGTCGCTACAACTGGTCTCTGTCACTCCTAGGTTCCATGTCGGCTGAAGGACCGGAGCATGCTCCAGTTTAAGTATTCAACCCGGGGGTGAAGCCATCAACAAGTTGGGAGAAGAACAAAGGGCTTGTCGCAATTCTGGTCCGCAAAGGTAAGAGATTTCTTTGACATCCTGGAATTCCTGAAAATAGGAATAGGAAGGCAAACCCAAGACAACCCAAAGGTCTGTCTCTCTTTTGCATCAACAGGTGATGCTCCTTGGCTGAGCAGATGCTAATGGAATGAGTGCCAGCCAAACTTCTTATTAATGTTTAATTGCTCATTGGTTTAATTCATACACTTATATTCTGTGAGCCAGGAGTTCTTGGAAAACCCCTCCAATTATTGTTTTGAGGCTTTTTGATACCCTGGCAAAATGGACTAGCTGTACCACCAATAAATCTTTCCCCCTAGGTATTAAATCGTATCACAATAAGAAGATTTTTAGCACCGTCTGTTCAGAAGTAAGTCCTGTACTTGCTTGGTGGGGCTTATTTTTAGCTGCTTGAGTGTAGGGTACAACTTCCTCTTTCTTTCTTTCTTTCTTTCTTTCTTTCTTTCTTTCTTTCTTTCTTTCTTTCTTTCTTTCTTTCTTTCTTCCTTCCTTCCTTCCTTCCTTCCTTTCCTTCTTTCCTTCCTTCCTTCCTTCTTTCTTTCTTTCTTTCTTTCTTTCTTTCTTTCTTTCTTTCTTTCTTTCTTTCTTTCTTTCTTCTTTTTCTTCCTTCTTTCCTTCCTTCCTTCCCCCTCAGAACATAGAAACATCCAGATTTAAAAGTAATATTTGGAAAAAGTAAAAATAAGGAAAAACAGAACAGTCAGCCAAATGTTTTGAATTTCTCAGAAAGGTTCTCAGCTCTGGTTAGAAAGCTGAATAATCGACAAATGTTAGAACTTTTTAAATACTCTTTGTGGTTCAGAGGAGAGAGAGATGCTGAATGGAGGGCCTGGTTCACTTCCGTCTTGCTATGAATTATGCTCGTGCCATTTAGTTCTTCAGTAGTTTAATGCACTGAAGCCACTGGCTCAGTAACTGAGAATGTGGGAAGAAATGAAAATCAAGAAATACAACAACAGGATTAAATTGGTACTTTTTCACTAGAACAGGAAAAAAATAATTCCATCGCGTTGATTCAAATTCTGCAGCATCAATTGGAAAAGCTTCCCTCCAACCCCTTTTGTAGATAAATCCTTAACTATAAAATAAACTATGCATGAAATATCACAAGATGTTTATTCTAAACACTTTGTCTAGAATTATAACTGAACAACAAGACTGTAACATAGGACCTGTAGTTTGGGTCTGGGTGGCCTTTATTATTATTTAATAATAATAAAGTTGGAAGGGACCTTGGAGGTCATCTAGTCTAACCACCTGCTCAGGCAGAAAACCCTATACCATTTCAGACAAATGGCTGTCCAGTTTCTTCTTAAAAAATTTTCATGATTAAATGATGGGTGAACCACCCCCAAATGGAAAACATGCTCAAATCAGGTTCATGAATACATACAAGACCTTGTGATCCTGATATCTCAATTTGGGATATAAAATTAGCGTTCCTCTTCTGTCTTTGTACTGTGCTTACCTGTCAGGTCCCCAAAACCAAGAAAGACATGCGGTGATTCTTCCAAGCAGATTTCTTTATTGTTCCCTGCCTTTGGCTAAACTCTCACCAAACTGAAGCAAACTACTCCGAAGCATACGCTCTGGGAACTGTTAGGAAGGGGCTGTCTCCACCCTCTTTCTCTCACACAAGCTGTCTGAACTGAGTTGCCTCTTTCGCCTCTGGAAGGAAGTCTTCCCTCCTGGTAATTCAGGCCAGTTACTGTCTGTGTGTCAAGCACTTCTGAAGACTACCTAGTGACACGCAAGGAGGGCCACCAAGGAGCTTAAAATCATAAAGGTAAAATAGGTGAATAGCTGGTTTGGAGGCATCCCTGCTTCAGACAGGAAGGCGGTGCAGAGAGTGGTGAGGACGGCCGAAAAGATCATTGGCAGCTCCCTCCCTCCCATCCAGGACATAGCACAGAAGCGCTGCTTGAGCAGGGTCCGTAAGATCATCTGGGACACTACACATCCTCTTCACGATCTGTTTTCCTTGTTCCCTTCTGGGGGGAGGGGGCTTCGTGGTACCTGAAGCAGAACATCCAGATTCAGCCATAGTTTCATTCCATACAGCATTAACCTTGTGAATTCTCAAGCTTCCTCCTTCCGTTATACATTCAAGATGGACAATATTTAATATTTATTTGCTACGTATATGTAGGGGTGTGGGTCTATACCAGTGGTTCTCAACCTTTTTAATGCTGCGACCCCCAACCGATCGTAAGTCAAGGATTACTCAACTGGTGCAGCACCGTTTGCAGAATGGGACTTTTGGCGGGCTCAGCAGGGCAGAGACAGCCTGGACAATTCCTATTGGCTTTTGAAAGCCAATAGAATTAGACTCTATTCAAGAGAGTCTATTCTATTGGCTTTCAAAAGCCAATAGAATAAAAGGGAGTAGCACAGCTAAGGAAAAGGGGGAAAAAATGGCGGACTGCGTTGTTTGGCGACCCCCGTGAAATGGTCGTTCAACCCCAAATGGGGTCCCGACCCACAGGTTGAGAACCACTGCTCTATACATACGTTGTTCATAGTATGTTTAAGTGTGTGTCTTGTATGGGTTTCACTTTGAGAGCGGGCAACTAAATTTCATTTTTGATGTGTGCCATTGTGCCCACAGTAAAAAAAATGAGAATAAAGGTTATCCTATCTTATCTAAAATAGGTGAATAGCTGGGAAAAGAGTTAAACAAAGAAAGGGGAAATGTCAGGCTGGCTACAAATAAGAATCCACGTTAAAAGGTGAAATCAAAAAAGAAACAGAGTAGCTGAGCTTAAAAGGAGAATTTTTAAAAAAAAGGGTGATGCCAAGTTATGTTTTGATTTAAGGAAAAACCCTACCTCTTCTTTAATCATGATATTCATTAAGAAGGGCAGGAAGAATGACATTTGGAATTCGAATTCGGAACAATAAGGTTCTATCAACAATGAGAAAAAGCATCTTATCAATGTAAAAGAGCAAACAAATGATCAAATAATAAACAAAATGGCTCTATTTTAACACAGCATCTAGAGATACTTACAAAACATTTTGTAAAGAAACCAGAGGGAAAAAAGCTCCTAATTTACATAATTTGAGCGTCATTCTATTTACATATGACTCTGCATTTATATTATTATTCGCAAGTTCACGTGGCGCAAAATGCCAAAACTTAATTTTATAATCTAATTTCAAGGGATGTGCAAGTCTTCAAAAATCCATTTCTGACAAAGGGAAATAATAGCAAATGTGTTTTGATCACTGATGTGGCGATTTGTGTGGCCTGAAGGTGATTTGATTATGTGCAATCAAGTCATTTTTGACTCCTAGCGACACATACATAGATTTTCCCCAAGACAATCTGTCCCCAGCCTGGTCTTTCAGGTCTTCTCATGGTGTGTTCATCGCCATTATAATTGAGTCCATCCACCTGGCTGCTGGTTATACTCTTTCCTTTCACTTTTCCTCATGTTTTTTTTTCGTGCTTCCATGATGAAAGGATTTGCCAATGACATCACTATTGTCCAGGACACAGCCAGTTGGGACTCCTTTTGTGTCCCCGCAAAGTTGCCCACCAATGTGGTAGCTACCCACATTCAAACTGCTGCATTGGCAGGAGCTGGAGCATATGATGGGAGCTCACCTTACCCCATGGCGGCACGGGTCTCAAATGTGAGCCTGCCAATCATCAGCCCGACATCCTAACCTCGTAAGCCACCACACTTGTACTATCTTTCTATGTGTTAGAGTTAGACCCTTCTCTTGGAGCTGCGTTTCTGCATAAAGTAAAAGTAGAATAATTTGAACCTGGTCATTTGTGCCTCAAGTGAGAACTCTTAAGCTGATTTACCTAACGCAGTGGTTCTCAACCTGTGGGTCGGGACCCCATTTGGGGTCGAACGACCATTTCACGGGGGTCGCCAAACAACGCAGTCCGCCATTTTCCCCCCCTTTTCTTTAGCTGTGCTACTCCCTTTTATTCTATTGGCTTTTGAAAGCCCATAGAATAGACTCTCTTGAATAGAGTCTAATTCTATTGGCTTTCAAAAGCCAATAGGAATTGTCCAGGCTGTCTCTGCCCTGCTGAGCCCGCCAAAAGTCCCATTCTGCAAACGGTGCTGCACCAGTTGAGTAGTCCTCGACTTACGACCGGTTGAGTAGTCCTCGACTTATGACTGGTTGGGGGGCGCGGCATTAAAAAGATTGAGAACCACTGGCCTAACGCTTCACTTCTATGTTTTCTTTCATGGTGAATTCAGGAGTCTTCTCCAACACCAAAAAGGTCAATACTCTTCCTATTGTACATCTTCAAGATCCAACTTTCTCTTCCATAGAGTGTCACAGGAAAAACCATCTGGCCCTCGTACACCTGAATATCTGCCAAGGCCTTCATGGCTGCTGGAGCAAGTGCTAGTCTGCAGCATATTGCTTGAATTAACTGAAGCCAAATTTCTTCCCTCCACTCTACCAATGTCTTGGGGTTTTTAAAGTGCTGGTAGTGAAAATGAGAATATTTCCCAATATATTTAAGATAGATTGTTGACAAATCTAGGGTGCAAAGAAGCACTATTTAGGGAAAACATAGCTGATCGTATTTGGCAGAGTCTGTGGCAGCATCAGGGAAGGATTGGGTATCAATCCATCAGAATAGCGCTGGAAGGGGCCTTGGAGGTCTTCTAGACCAATCTTTGCTCAAGCAGGAGACCCTATATCCGTGGTGGTGAACCTATGGCACAGGTGCCAGAGGCGGCACTCAGAGCCTCTCTGTGGGCACGCGCGCCATCGCCCCAGTCCTAGGCCTTCAGCTGGGTTTTATAAAACCTTTTCGCTTTAGGCCTCCGCCGCCTTGTGCAAAAAAAAAAAGGTTCAAACAATCAGTCAATTTCAACTTCTTGCAGGAAAAAAAAGATCTCGCAAAGTTGGAATTGATTGATTGAACTTTTTAGTCCCACCCAGTCTGCCGTTACCACCGCAGCCACGCCCACCCAATGGGCCACACCGACCTGGCACCTGACGATGCATCAGTGGATTTTGGGTTGCAGTTTGGGCACTCGGTCTCTAAAAGGTTCACCATCACTGCCCTATATCATTTCAGGCAGATGGGCTGCCCAGTCTCTTCTTAAAAACCTCCAGTGATGAAGCTTCTGAAGGCAAGGTGTTCCACTGGTTAATTGTTCTCACTCTTAAGGAAGTTTCTCCTTAATTCCAGATATTGCTTCTCTCTTTGATCAGTTTCCAACCGTTGTTTCTTGTCTTGCATTCAGGTGCTTTGGAAGGCACCCCCTCTTCTCTGTGGCAGCTCCTCAAATACTGGAATACTGGTATCATGTCATCCCCTAAATCCTTCTTTTCTCTAGAGTAGATATATCCAGTTCCTGAAACCATTCTTCATATGTTTTAACTCCTAACCCTCTAATTGTCTTAGTTGCTCTTCTCTGCGCTTTTTCCAAAGTCTCAACATCTTTTTGCAAACTGGATGCAGTATTCTAGATGTGGTCTTACTAAGGATTGATAAAGTGATGTGAACTCTGTTTAACAAGGCAAAGACTTCATGAGGCCTTGCCCAGTAAGCAAGGCTCCTCCTACACCAGCCAGTTGGCTTGATCTTTGAAGTTTGGTTTGGAGTAAGCTACATTCAGGCCAAGATTTAAGTGCTTTAGCTTATTCAGTGATTAGCTAGAGATACCTCTGATGAAACTGTGTGAGAACAGGAGAGTTAAAATGCAACTTTAACCCTGTGGTTTGTATTGTTTCCAACCCCTGAGATGACTAACAGGTGGAAATCAAGACATTTGCCCTCTGACTTGCTTTTTCTCTTTTGGAGGAAAATATTTGTTTGTTTGTTTGTTTGTTTATCTGTCCCCCCGTCCATCATATTTTTGAACCACCCATCTCCCTCAGATGTCTGGAATAAAGATGTCCCAGCAGAAGGAGCAAGTCTCCGTTCCCATGGTGTCACTGGCTATTCCCCAGGAACCTTATGCTCCGGGATACTCTGCTTCATACACCCCGGAGGCCTACGCATCACAGCCCTACAATCCACAAGTGTATGCCCCCCAATCCTGCGGCTCGGAACCACAAAGCTATAAACAATATGCATCAGATCCGTACGCACCTGATGCTTCGGAGACTTACCGTGTCTCAGGTATGTGCCAGGTGCATTTCTAAGGCTGAGGCTTGGATCAAAGGAGAAAGAGGGTTGGGATTGGGGCTTGATCCAAACCCTCTGCAACGCTTCTCTTCCTCTTGGTGCAGGTGCTTGCTGCTATGATATTCCATCCCCACCTCCGTACAGCTGTGAAGAAGTGATTTGTGACGTATTAGGACCAGGTACTTATATGCTAAAGACTAATTCATATACAGCAGTGTTTCCCAACCCTAGGATCTTTAAGATACGTGGACTTCAATTCCCAGAATTCCCCAGCCAGCATAGCTGGCTGGGAAATTCTGGGAGTTGAAGTCCACGCATCTTAAAGTTCCCAAGGTTGGGAAACACTGATATGCAGTTAGTCCTGGACTTACAGCCATTCATTTAGTGACCATTCAAACTTACAATGGCCCTGGAAAAAGTGGCATATGACCACTCCTCATACTTATGACCGCTGCAGCATCCCCATATTCATGTGATCTAAATTTGGGCACTTGGCAACCAACATGTATTTAACAGAGGTTGCAGCATCCCAAGTCATGTGATCCCCTTTGCGACTTTCCCAGTAACTTCAACAAGCAAAGTCAAGGGGGAGAGCCAGTCTCCTTTAGCAGGACTTAAGAACTGCAGTCATTTGCTTAACAACCATGGCAAACTAAGGTTGCAAAATCACATCTGACGCATTTAACAGTTTCCTTGCTTAGGAACGGAATTTCTGATCAGTTGTAAGTTATAAATTGAGAACTACCTGCAATCATGGGGAAGAATAAGATGCCTTAGATGTCCAAGTAGCATTCTTTGCTAGGTTTGTTCCCAAACACCAAGGGCGAAGGTCTCTGCTAGACTTTGCATAAGGTAGTCAACAGAATGCTGAGGGACTTTGGGATAGATTAGATACAGCAGACAGACAGACAGGCAGACAGACAGACAGATAGATAGACAGATATGGAGAGATAGAGATAGATAGATGATAGATAGAGATAGAGATAGATAGATAGATAGATAGATAGATAGAGAGAGAGAGACAGACAGACAGACAGATAAGGAGAGATAGAGATAGATGATAGAGATAGATAGATAGATAGATAGATAGATAGATAGATAGATAGATAGAGACAGACAGATGAGAGATAGAGATAGATAGATAGATAGATAGATAGATAGATAGATAGATAGATAGATATAGATAGATAGGCAGGCAGGCAGGTAGGCAGGCAGATAAGGAGAGATAGATAGATAGATAGATAGATAGATAGATAGATAGATAGATAGATAGATAGATAGACAGACAGATATGGAGAGATAGAGATAGATAGATGATAGATAGATAGAGAGAGAGAGACAGACAGACAGACAGATAAGGAGAGATAGAGATAGATGATAGAGATAGAGATAGATAGATAGATAGAGACAGACAGCTGAGAGATAGATAGATGACAGATAGATAGATAGATAGATAGATAGATAGATAGATAGATAGATAGATAGATAGGCAGGCAGGCAGGCAGGCAGGCAGGCAGGCAGGCAGGCAGGCAGGCAGGCAGATAAGGAGAGATAGATAGATAGATAGATAGATAGATAGATAGATAGATAGATAGATAGATAGATAGACAGATAGATAGATAGATAGATATGGAGAGATAGATAGATATGGAGAGTTAGATATGGAGACAGAGACAAATAGATAGAGGGATAGTCCAGAATGCTGGAAATACAAGATGTCTCATTTATGGCCATTTGCAGATAGACAAAGTGAGTTGCCAGTATTCCCATTTATGTTTATGACGCAATCATGGCTTATTCTGGACACCTAAGATCTCACACTAGACTGATACCTGGGGAGAACAACATCCATGTTTCCCTGAATTTCCCACTTCAGGTTATTAAGAAGGTTCTCCTCAAGAATCTAAAGCATTTGGGGAGGATTGGAATGCTGACTATGGACCAGGAAGAGTCTCGGCAAATGTTAGCAATTCGAGTGGGGCAAATGACAGGGCACCCATTTAATTAGAAGGACACATGTGAGACTAAGTTGCTCCCTTGATTAGTGTTCCAAGGAACTCCTGGACTGAACCTCCTTCAAGGGGTTTCTGTTTTGAGAGTGCTGGTGGAGTCTCTGGGAGGCCCAGAAGCATTGGTGTAAATAAAAAAGGGTGCATCACACTTGCTCTTTTTAATCAAAAGACTTTTAATGAAAGTATTTAAGGGCAGATACAGCAGAGTGTCTATGTGGAACTGCTTGAGGGGTGGACAGGGACCCAAGGCCATCTTAGTCAGGTCCCAAGGACAGAGATGGTTTAAATTGCCCAGCTAAGATAAAAGATGGGGAAAGGGATGGAGAAAAAGCTTATTTCCAGGGGTCTTTGCACAAAGCCACCTTTCCTAGCAAAAAAAGAAGCTTTCAACCTCATGATCAGGAGAACCTATCAAAGCCTTTGGTTTGTTTTTAATTCCCCCTGGGGTTTGCTCAGCTGTCTCGATTTGTGAGCTGGAGGGAAGGTCTTCCGTTGTTTTCATGACATTTTCTTCCAATGTTTGAACATTTCACCAGTTCCCCACCCTTCCCAATCTGAAAAAGCAGAGTAGCGGAGTGGGGAAGGACCTTGGAGGTCTTCTAGTCCAGGGGTCCCCAACCTATGGGCCGCGTCCCACTACTGGGCCGTGGCCTACTGGCCACCGGGCCACAAGACAGGCTGGCCAGTGTGCGCACATGTGTGTCCGCGCCCACCCCCACTTGCACTAGCGTCTGCAGACCCATTTGCACATGTGCATGGGGCTAACAGTGGCGGCTAGCGCCTGTGTAAATGGGGCCACTAGCGTGCACGGGGTTTACGCAGCCCATTTGCGCATGCGCACGGTTGATGGCGGCGGCACCTAGTGCCTGTGCACATCTGCAAATGGGGCCACTAGCGCAGTGCAGGCTGCGCATCCTGTTTGCACATGCACGTGGGTGCTAGCTGTAGCCAACTGCACTCCTAGCCCTGTGCAGGTGCATGTGGCCTCGTTCGCTTGTGGCTCCATTTGTGCACCTGTGCGCACACAAATTTCCCAGCCGCTCCCAGCATGAAAAGGTTGGTGACCTGTGTTCTAGTCCAACCCCCTGCTCAAGCAAGAGACCTTATACCAGCGGTCCTCAACCTTGGCAACTTTAAGACTTGTGGACTTCAATTCCCAGAATTCCTCAGCTGGCTGAGGAATTCTGGGAGTTGAAGTCCACCATTCTTAAAGTTGCCAAGGTTGAGGACCCCTGCTTACCATTCCAGAGAAGGCTGTCCAGAAAAGATTCCTGCCTACTCTGAAAAGCTCTAGAATGTAAGAATGCACCTTGCTGTTTGTCCCCTCTCTGTCCCATAGTCTGCATGGACTCCTCCCCACCTGTTGTGGTGGCCGGCATCTTCTCCAGTAAACCTGCGTCCACCATCTGCCCCTGTTGCCGACAGATCATCACCACTGAGGTGGTCTTCCGTGCGGGATGCCTAACCTATGCCCTCTCGGCCTGCCTGTGTCTGATAGGGTGAGTGTCCATGCTCCGCCATTTTATCTTCCTCCAGGTTCATAGAGTTCATTAGGTCAGAGTAGTCCAACTCAGGCCCAACATGCCCCCTCCCCCACTAGTTGGAGGGGAGGGGCTGGAGGGTCAAAAAACTCAAGATGACGTCCACACCCGTGCACGCAGCCCCCCTCTTTTTCACATCTATCATGTGGGCTGCCCCCTTGATTTTCTTTTTTAAATCCCCCTCCAGCCCTAAGAGATTAAAGGGGTGAAACGGATGCCTCACCCCAGAGATGGGGACATTTTGGTAGCCAAGTGTTATTTTGAAGTTCATCTGGGAGAAGCTTAGGGATATCACAGGTGGGGCACTGGTGCCGTGGGGTAGATTTGAGGCTTTGCTTTGGGCTTTTTCTGGGTTTGTGGGGCCTCATTGCAGGTAAGCCCAGAGGCTTTTCCAGGAGTGCAAATCAAAGCCATGGTGCACCATTTTGATGCAAGCTCCACCCCTTTGGAACCTGCACAGTGACATTTGCATACAGGTACTTAAGGGGGCGGAGCTGCTTTGGCCCTGTTACACTGGATCCTGGAGATGCTTTTTGGCCCAGTGTTTCTCAGCCTCAGCCACTCAGTCCCTAAGTCTTAAAGTTGGCTAGGGAATTCTGGGAGTGGGCTGAGGTGGAGAAAACACTCTTTTTGCTTTTGTGCAGCCTTATGAAGACTCCTGCTCTAAGAAGCTTGCCATCTATAGCAGGGCTTTTCAACCTTTTCACCCACTGTACCACTTTTAGGAGATGGCAATATCCAAATGCCACCAGTTGCCTAGCAAGGTGTCAAAAACTTGATGACCCCCCCCCCCAAAAAGGAAAAAAGTGATGAAGTACAGGTAGTCCTCAACTTACAATAGTTCACTTAGTGACTGTTCGAAGTTACAATGGCACTGAAAAAAGTGCCCCCCAAGCCACAGCTGAGCAAGACACCTGCCTGCCCACCCGGCCGCGCTCTTCCTCCTGTCCGAGGTTTTCATTGCTGTGAGCATTTCTGTTGAGGATTGGCAGCAGGGGTGGGTGGGGGGATGTTTGGTTTTTATTCTCCCTGTCTGCTGGGTGGTTGCAGCAGGTTTTGGTCACTTCACATGATCCTGGGACACTGTGACCATCATAAATATGAATAAGTGGCCAAGCATCTGAATGTAAATCACAAGACCCTGGAGAGGCTGCAACATTCCAGTTGATCAGTGCTTCTTCTGGGCTCAGCAGAAGCACCAGGATCAGTGTTGAGCTCCAGCTGGAGCCTGGCGCTGATCCTGGCACTTCCACTGAGCCCTGACAGTCCCAAAGAAGCGCTGATCCTGGCGCTTCCGCTGAGCCGACAGCCCTGCAGCTCCAGCCATCTCTCGCTCAGGCTTGTACGGTGCTGCCATCGGTTCAGCTCATTCTCTTCCCCCGCTACCACTTTTCTAGGATGGTCGCATACCACCTGCCAGGTGCCAATGTACCACAGGTGGTACCCGTACCACTGCCCTGATCTATAGCAGTGTTTCTCAAGCTTGGCAAAATTAAGATAGGGGGTTGTCAACTGCCAGAATTCCCCAGCCAGCCATGAGGAGAAACACATCTATAGGATAAAGCTGATGTGGGTGGGGTTCTTCAAGAAGGACATATTTACAATAAAATCTCAGTATGCCGTCTCCAACCAGGTCTGGGCCTGCAATCAAAGACTGGAAGCTTGGGATCTGAGGGACCACTGCAGGCCTGGAAAGCACCAGGTTGCAGTACGCTGTCTAAGGTCTAGAGCAGGGCCTCCAAGCTTGGCAATTTTAAGACTTGAGGATTTCAACTCCCAGAATTCCACAGCCAGTATGGCTGGTTGAGGAATTCTGGGAGTTGACGTACAGAAGTCTTAAAGTTGCCAAGTTTGGAGAGCCCTGGTCTAGAATTGCTGGGGTTGATTGACAGGCAATAATTCTGTATTTCTAATGTGACACCTTCGGGGACTGATCCATTCTCATACTGCTGGGCCATTAGGAATGGCCTGAGCTAGAATGGATGATGGTTGGTATATGCAATTTTGAAATGGTGTAATTTCTTGGCATAAGGAAAAACAGTTCAGTTGCCTTTTGAAAAAGCACCTTTGGGGTTCTTGGCATAATAACCACCACAACAACAAGCCATAAGAAAACCCTTTTCAAGTCATGGTCTGTCTTTTTATTTTCCTATGTGGCTCTCAGCTGCTGCTTGGGCTGCTGTCTCTGCCCCTTCATCTCCAAATGCTGTAAGGACGTCGATCACTACTGCCCTTGTTGCCGATATCACATCTACCGGTACAAAAGGATCTAGAAGAAGAAGAACAGCCCACCCATCCATCTCCGTGGAAATCAAGGTCTAACTTGGGTGGATTCACACGTTCCATCCTGGACTGTTCTTATGTCTGGAACTGGATTGCACTGTGCAGGATGGGCTCCCTGGTCTGCGATGAAACTGGCTGAGCTCCAGTCAACATTGGCCTTCGGTCTCCTAAGCAGGGAAGTGGCTTGCAGCTGGTCAAGGATCTGCTCTAGGATTTTCTGTTTTACTTTCCTGGTATTTACAGTTTGTGAATTAACTGTTTTGGTTTTTCTTTTGTGAATCCTTTGGTACGCTTCCTTCTCAAGGTTGCTTAAATCCATTTGTGTGCTTCAGTCACCATGGATCTCCTCTGAGGACCATGTCAGCAATGCGCCATTTAAGTCCTACCAAACATCTCAACCTCCGGCCCTACCACAACATTTAAGCGCTTGCGTCCCTTTCCTGGGCTGATGGTCTGTCAGAGGCCACTTTTACATCATACTGGACTGAGAAATCCTTCATTTTTTTTTTTTCCTGACCAACTTTCATTTGATTGGATACAGGAAACTTCAGAGAAATCTCTCCATTTCTTGACTGGCAGGGTCCCCCAAACAGTGGAGATGGAGTCCAAGGCCATGTCATCTGAGCCCCACCCATTTTAATATGCATTTAAAAAGGGCTTTAATTACATGGTGGTGGCTGACATCTTGACTTTTTGCACCCTCTCCATGTAGACTATCTTACCTGCCCCTATATTTGATACAGAATTTTGAAAAGCTGTTTGTTTCAGCTCTTGTTTTAGGGGATTAAATGTTAAGATTTTGATTCTTTATGTGGACAGGGTAATGACAAAGCTGTCTCATTAGATGGGAGAGCAGGAAACTTTCCTTGAATGATGCTCTATTTTGTTGTACTGGTTAAAGAAATGGTTCCTGTGTTGTTTCCTAATGTTGTATTTTTTGGGGGGTAAGGAAGATGGAGGACACTGGCAGCTGAAGGTGGGAGGGAGAAAAAGACCAAAGGAGGAAGGAGTATACCATCAGTAGCTGGTGGTCCTTGATCCTTGGGGGCACTATTTCTGACTTCAGCAGCTTAAGATGGGTGGACTTCAGAATTCCCCAGCCACATGCTAGCTGAAGAGTTCTGGGAGTCAAAGTCCACATATCTGATTGGCTAGGGAATTCTGAGAGGTGAAATTCACACAACTTAAAGTTGGCTAGGGAATTCTGGGAGTTGAAGCCCATGTATCTTAAAAATTGGTTGCGGAATTCTGGGAGTCAAAGTCCACAATCTTAAAGTTGGTTGGGGAATTCTGGGAGTTGAAGTCCATTAAATTGGCTGGTGAATTCTGGGAGTTGAAGTCCATAAAAGTGGTTGGGTAATTCTGGGAGTCAAAGTCCATATATTTTACAATTGGCTGGGGAATTCTGGGAGTTGAAGTCCATTAAATTGGCTGGGGAATTCTGGGAGTTGAAGTCCATTAAATTGGCTGGGGAATTCTGGGAGTTGAAATCCATAAAAGTGGTTGGGGAATTCTGGGAGTCAAAGTCCATATCTTTTAAAATTGGCTGGAGAATTCTGGGAGTTGAAGTCCATTAAATTGGCTGAGGAATTCTGGGAGTTGAAGTCCATTAAATTGGTTGGTGAATTCTGGGAGTTGAAGTCCATTAAATTGGCTGGGGAATTCTGGGAGTTGAAGTCCATAAAAGTGGTTGGGGAATTCTGGGAGTCAAAAGTTCACACATTCTAAAATTGGCTCTGGAAGTCAAAATCTACACAACTCAAAGTTGGCTGGGGAATTCTGCAAAGTCAAAGTTCATACATCTTAAAATTGCCAAGACTGAGAAACTCTACTGACAAAAAGAGAAATAGTCCTCTGAGCCAGATTTTTAAGAAGACATGACCATGCCAGACTTGTTTCTCAACCAGGTGAGATCTCATATGTATTTAAGGATCTCGGTCTTCAAATGCACCATAGAATTTAAAATTCTTGCATGCAGAAGGATAGCAAGTCAAGAGTCTCTGCCGTCACTCTCGTGAATGGCCCCTCATGCTATCAAGAGAGTCCTGGCCTGGGCTTTTCTCCACCTAAGTGAAATCAGGAGCTTAAATGTATCCCCACTTGAACTGGTACATATATGTGGGGTAACCATCATTTGTCGTTTTGATTTCCCCAAAAGTTGTTTCTAAATACTGCACGACGGATACTTTTAATGATTTCCATTTGGTTAATTTTGTTTAGTTGAGTTGAACCACAATTTACTGATTACATCTCAAACAATTTTGCTAAGCAGGACACGGTGAGCCATCAGCCACTTATAAGCCAGTCCGGTTTGATGCATCTTTTTCAGAGCTAAACTTGAAAGGATGTGCAATCCCATTAATCAAAACAAGTGAGTCAACGCTCAAAAGTCCAGATTGAAAGAATGATTACAAATGTTATTGTATGGGGAAGGTTAGGCAAGAGAGATGGAAATGCTGAGTCAATGGCCGTGTAGTTCAGAGTTTACATTTCAAAGCCCTCTGGCTGGTTTGAAAATTCAGAGTTTAGCAACTCATGAATTGAGCCTGAATTAGACCAAATCTTGCTGTAAATTGATGTCTTAGTACATTAGCAAGGAACATCTAAAAAAAAAAAATGTTCAGAAAGATTTTCATGTCCCTCCCAAATTCGACTGAACCAACCACCTGTACAGAGATGGGGGCCATATAAATTGAATAAATCATTTTAAAGGGCATGCTAAGTATGGGGTGTAAAATCCCATCTCACCTTATGGGCAGTCTGTGCCTTCTTCAATCTTGGGTTTTTTACCACAGGGCTTTTCAACCTTTTCACCCATTTTACCACTTTTAGGATATGGCAACATCCGAGTACCACCAGTCACCTAGCAAGATGTCAAAAACTTGATGACCCCCCAAAAAAAAAAAAAGGAAAAAAGTGATAAAGTACAGGTAGTCCTCGACTTACAACAGTTCGCTTAGTGACTTAATTGTTTTTATTCCCCCCCGTCTGCTGGGTGGTTGCAGGAGGTTTTGGTCACTTGACATGACTCTGGGACACTGTGAACATCATAAATACGACTCAGTTGCCAAGCATCTGAACGTAAATCACAAGACCCTAGAGAGGCTGCAACATTCCAGCTGATCGGCGCTTCTTCTGGGCTCAGCAGAAGCACCAGGATCAGCGCTGAGTTCCAGCTGGAGCCTGGCACTGATCCTGGCGCTTCCGCTGAGCCCTGACAGCCCTGCAGCTCCAGCCGTCTCTCACTCAGGCTTGTGCGGTGCTACCACCGGTTCAGCTCATTCCCCTCCCCCGCTACCACTTTTCTAGGATGGTCGTGTACCACCTGCCAGGTGCCAATGTACTACAGGTGGTACCCGTACCACTGGTTGAAAAGCCCTGCTCTACCAGAATCCTGGGGATTTGGGGATTCTACACAGTACTTAACTGCACCTAACACTGCACTCTTCCGGACAGAGAGCGCTGAGGTTGTTCCTGGGATCTGTTGGAGTCACTTTTCTAGCTTAGGAATCACAACGCTTGGATGCTCCTACCATCCCTTTGGCCTTTACTTTCCACATCTTCTCTTGTTCCTCCTTCAGGCCCTGGTCCTTTTCCCACTTCTCTTTTTCCTTCTTCCTGATGTTGCTGTCACTTGGCACTGCTACATCTTATTCATTACTGCTGTCGTCTGGCCCTAGTCTACCACCACAGTGTCTGGTTGATTGGCCAGTACCTGCCTAAACATCTTGATAGAAGGTCCACAATATCTTAGGCCTATTATTTGTCATGAACTTCTGTGAACTGTCCCATCTGATCCTGGGAGGGTCTATAGCCCATACACTATGCAGATAGGCCTGTACACAGTGGCAACTACTTCGTTATACCACTCAAGAGTATGCTGATTTTGCCTGCATCCTACACTCTGCCATTCTGTGTTGGACTCTCTCTACACCATCTGGCCCTCAAAGTCCTGTAGTATGGTAGTCCTTTGTTTCTATGGATCTTAGTGCCTGTTTTTGGGCTGTTGGCTGAAAAATTCTGGAAGCTGAAGTTCAGACATCTTAAAGTTGCCAAGATTGAGAAATGCTGATCTAGAGTTTAACAGGATGGTTTGGTGAGAACCTCACCCTCTCATGAGAACTAGCTGTGGTTCTCACTTGATCCCTGTGAGAGACTGAGAGGAGGCTGAGAAAGAAAGGGAAAGAACCCTGATGATCAGCTAAGGAATGTTTTTAAAATAAAAGGTAGATCAGCCGTGCCTCCAAAAGGTATGATGGAGGAACATATTCAGAAGGCTACAATTTAATAAAAGTGGAACATTCATATAGAACCTCCATAATTAATTGGGCTGCTTGGTGCAGTGGTTAAATTACTTGGAGCTCTGGTGGCAGAGCGGTTGAAGTGCAGTATTGCAGGCAAAATCTGCCCACAGCCTGGAATTTGATCCTGATGGAGCTCAAGGTTGACTCAGACTTCCATCCTTCCGAAGTCAGTAAAATGAGGAGTCAGATTTTGGGGGACAATATGCAAACAATGCTTACATGGTAAACCAGAATTCCCCATTACAGGCTTTGCGGACCAGCAAGGGGGGGGAGGGGATGGTTCACGCAAGTGATCAGCAACCATGTGTGCGTGCGCAGCTCCATTTGCGCTAGAGACATGCACATGCTTGCCTGCTGCTCACGTGAGGACCATGTGTGCAGGTGCATGCTTGCCAGCTGTTTCCATGGCCCAGCTGCAAACCCCTCACAGACCACTAGTGGACTGTGGCCCACAGGTTTGGGACCCCTGTTGTAAACTACCCAAAGAGTGCTGTAAAGCATTATGGGGCAGTATAAAGCCTAACCGCTATTGCTATTGTGTCATGTGCAAATAACCAGGAGCACTCATTCAGTTCAAAGCACAGCAGAGTTTGTGATTGCTACCTATACCCAAGAATCTGGTTAACTAATGGTCAAAGCTAAATGGCTCTAGATAAGGGTCAAGAGAATTTATAAGGGAAGGTCTCTTGTGGAAGTGCATAAAAATTCCAAACCAATGACATGTTTCACCCTTGTTGTTGTTAATTGCGAAGTCGTGTCCGACCCATCGCAACCCCATGGACGTTCCTCCAGGTCTTCCTGTCCTCTACCATCTTCTGGAGTCCATTTAAGTTCACACCTACTGCTTCAGGGACTCCATCCAGCCCTCTCATTCTCTGTCGTCCCCTTCTTCTATTGCCCTCAATCTTTCCCAGCATTAGGCCCTTCTCCAGTGAGTCCTTCCTTCTCATTAGGTGGCCAAAGTATTTGAGTTTCAACTTCAGGATCTGGCCTTCTAAAGAGCAGTCGGGGTTGATCTCTTCTAGGACTGACCGGTTTGAACGCCTTGCAGTCCAAGGGACTCGCAGGAGTCTTCTCCAGTACCATAGTTCAAAGGCCTCAATTCTTTGGCGCTCAGTCTTTCTTATGGTCCAACTTTCACAGCCATACATTGCAACTGGAAAAACCATGGCCTGGACTATACGCACTTTTGTTGGCAGGGTGATGTCTCTGCTTTTTAGTATGCTGTCTAGATTTGCCATAGCTTTCCTACCCAGGAGCAAGCGTCTTTTAATTTCTTGGCTGCAGTCCCCATCTACGGTGATCTTGGAGCCCAGAAAAATCTGTCACTACCTCCATTTCTTCTCCATCTATTTGCCAGGTATTGAGAGGGCCGGATGCCATGATTTTGGTTTTCTTAATGTTGAGTTTCAAGCCTACTTTTGCACTCTCCTTCTTCACCCGCATCAAGAGGCTCTTTAGTTCCTCTTCACTTTCTGCCATTAGAGTGGTATCATCTGCATATCTTAGGTTGTTGATATTTCTCCCGGCAATCTTAATTCCAACTTTTGATTCATCTAGCCCTGCCTTTCTCATGATGTGCTCTGCATATAAGTTAAATAGGCAGGGCGACAGTATACAGCCTTGCCGGACTCCTTTTCCAATTTTGAACCAATCAGTGGTTCCGTGTCCAGTTCTCACTGTTGTTTCTTGACCCGCATATAAGTTTCTCAAGAGACAAATGAGATGGTCTGGTACTCCCATCTCTTTAAGAACTTGCCACAATTTGGGCTAAACCTGATCTTCTATAGCAGCGGTTCTCAACCTATGGGTCGCGACCCCATTTGGGGTCGATCGACCTCTTTTGTGGGGTCGCCAAATGCGGCGATCTGCCAATTTGTCGCCTCCGGGGGGGCGGTGCTGCGCATGCGTGCCGCGCGTGGGGCGGCGGCGCGCCTCTGGGGGGCGCCGCCGCGCATGCGTGCTGCGCATGGGGGCGGCACCGTGCCTCCGGGGGCAACGCCGCGCATGCGCGCCGCGTGTGCGGGCAGCGCTGCACGTGCGCGCCGTGTGCGGGGGCCCACCCCATGCGCCCCGCGGGGGGGCACCACGCACGCGTGCCGCGGGGGGGCACCGCGCATGCGCGCCGTGCATGCGCATAACGTTTGTGTGACGGGGTCGCCGTCACACAAACGTTGAGAACCGCTGTTCTATAGTTAGGGGTTCAAAATATAACACAGGTAGTCCTCACTTAATGTCCATTCATTCAGTGGACATTAAGTCATAATGGTGATGAATGAGGGAATTTATGATGAGTCCTGGTAGTTGTCACTACTGCAGCACCCCCGTCATGGGGTTGCAGTTTGGGTGCTTGCAATTACAATGCCACAGTGTCCTGCAATCGTGACTGTGATTTGCGATGTTCTCTGCTGATTTCCTACAAGCGGTCAACAGGTGCCAGACTTCCCAGAGGTAGACCAGACAGGAAACATGACTACCCGTATATGCCGGCGTATAAGGCGACTTCCACAAGCGCTAAAATCGGCGCCAAAGACGGGGGTCGTCTTATACGCCGAGTCGTCTTATACGCCGGAAATACTGGTAGTTTCCGGCGTATAAGACGACGTTCTAGGAATGCGGTTCAGCGACAAAGACGGGGGTCGTCTTATACGCCGGCATATACGGTACATAAATTAGTTCTGGTTTACTGTAAGACTACATTAACAGAAACTGGCAAGTGTGAAAGTAAACTTTATTTCCCATCTCATTTATAGTCTGAGAAGTTAGGGAGGGTCCCTTCTGAGCTGCTTTCTCCCATTATGGAGCTGTGGGCTATGTTGTCCTTTACCCGACTGCTCTTAGCAGCATCTCTTCCCAATTTCCCTCCCCACCCCAAGGTCATTCCCACATACCATTACAATGGGGAAGCAAGCAGGAGATTGCAAATGGCGATGCAAGGAACTGCAAACTCACGGGATTTGCCTAATAACAGCAACTGGAACTGTGGCAACTGCCACTATAAGTTGGCATGGTCATATGATGTCCCACTTTATGACTGTACTGCTTAGCGATGGAATCGCGGTCCCAGTTACTGTTGTAAACCAAGGACTACCAGCCTATCGCTACCACCTCCATTCAGAAATTGTGGAATATAGCTTCTCATGCCAAATGGACATGTTTTAAAAAAATCTGGAAGTCCACCTGTCAAAGTTGCCACGGTTGAGAAACTCTACCCTGAAGGCAGGCTGGCAAGAAGCGTGTGCAGACAAAAAGCCAACGCAGTCCTGGACTTCATCAATGAGGGATAGTTTCCAGATCATGTGACGTGTAAGTGCCTCTTTATACAGCAGTAGTGTGAGAACACACTTGGAATAGTGTCCAGTTCTGCTCACAGCACAAAAAGGATGCTGAGAATCTAGACCAGGGGTCTTCAAAATTGGCCCTTTTATGACTCGTGGACTTCAACTCGCAGAATTCCTCAGCCAGCTTGCCAAAGTAAAGTATTTCCTTCAAATGTGCTTTTGGAAAAATGAAAGCATCCGATTAAAGAAAATTGTTCAAAATGAAAACAGCACACTTTTTGCATCGCTTCGGTGTTCCATTAGAATATTTTGGGATGGCAAAATCAGGAAAAATATGACCAGATGCTGAAACAGTTGCAAATTGCCTAAATGGTAGTTAAGATTCTTGTCACTACAAAGCAGGGTTCATCCTTCTTTTTTTCAGAGAGAAAATTCAGACTGCAGGATTCAAGGCACTGGAAGGGGAGAAATCCCAGAGTGATCAGCAAAAATGATCAGGAGGGAGTCAGTTTGGTCCATGGTAGCCCAAAATCAGAGCGCCTGGTAGTATCTTTTTAACACTAGTAACTGTTATTAGAAGGTGTAAGCTTTTGTGAGCTGCAGGTTATGCCTTTAAATAAAAATTGTCACTCTAAAACAGTGTTTCTCAGTCTTGGCAACTTTGAGGTGTGGACTTCGACTCCCAGAATTCCCAGACAGCATTCTGGGAGTTGAAGTCCACATCTCTTAAAGTTGGCAAGGCTGAGAATCACTGCTCTAAAACAATGCTGACCCCTGATTTTTTTAATGATAAAGTGACTTGTCCTTTTAAGGCAGTGGTTCTCAACCTTCCTAATGCCGTGACCTCCAACCATGTGGTCGTAAGTCGAGGACTACCTGTATTTCCCTGCGGGTGGGGCAGGAGGAGGTGCGCACGCTCCACCTCTCCTGCGGCTGGAGCACACGCTGGGCAGGCCGAGGGTGCATGCGGGCTGTCGCCCAGCAACCGGTTCGGCCTGGGAGCACCGCGCATGCGTGGTGCCGTCCCCTGCGCCGGCCCAGGCGTAGCTGGCAAGCGGCAGCGACGGCGCAGGGCGACCACCGGCTGGGCCACTAGCTGGCCCAGCCCAAGGGAGGTAAGGCACCTGCCGGGCCCCACGCACGTCAGCAATCATCCCTGCGCCCGCCGGCCTCCCACTTCCCACCCCTGGCCCTCTTTTACTTACCTTTAGTAGTTGCTCAGCAGGGAGGGGTGGAAACGTCCAGAAAGCTCACCTTAGCTGCAGACAACTTGCAGCACCGTTTGCAGAATGGGGCTTTTGGTGGGCTCCGTAGGGCAGAGACAGCCTGGACAATTCCTATTGGCTTTTGAAAGCCAATAGAATTAGATTCTATTCAAGAGAGTCTATTCTATTGGCTTTCAAAAGCCAATAGAATAAAAGGGAGTAGCACAGCTAAGGAAAAGGGGGGGAAATGGCAGACTGCGTTGTTTGGCGACCCCCGTGAAATGGTCGTTTGACCCCAAATGGGGTCCCAACCCACAGGTTGAGAACCACTGTTCTAAGGCCATATTATGATCTGAGCTTTGATAATTCCCTTCCCTCCACCTCACAGGGCCAATGGGATAAGGCTAATGGGAACCGTAGTCCAGAAGTTTCAGAATGCCGATCCCTCACCAGGAATATTCCTGGCCTAATTTTAACACCAAATTTCTGCTTCGTAATTTTTCAATTAATTTCCTTAAAATTTCCCACGTCACAAACTCCATTAAGGTTTTTTCTACTATACTGGAAGGGACCGTTTGCTCCGCAGGCAAAATTTGAACCCAGAAATCTGTTCAGGATCCATCCGTACCTTCAGGGGTCTGCAGGAAAGATTCAGGTAGCCTCCCACTGCCTGTCTTGCACTAAGCCACGATTAATCACAGTTTGCTGAAAAAGCAGTTAATTGGCCACATTGAACCATGAGAAATTATAAACTGTGACTTACAGATCACTAATGCAAGAAGCCAGAACCAACCTATCACAGCATCATGGTTTCAATTGTGCAAAGCCAGTTTATTTGGTAAAGTGGTTATGTTTCCCCTCAAACTGTCTATAAAGGATGTAATGTCCCTGAAAAAGGTAACTGGGTAAGCTTTTAGGACTAATTTTTAACCGGGAAATAACACACACTTAGAGAAGATACACTATGGAAAAATATTGATTGCTCCAGCCCAAAGTGAAGTAGAACATACCCACATAAATTAAGTACTATTATTTTGGTTGCTGTAGGAAAAACTGTAACAGATCAATCTCTCACAAAATCCTTGGAATTAAGACCTACTCCAATTTAGGTCTTCACTGCACTTAGCCTGTATTTTATGTACTTTTGTGCTGCAATCACAATTCTCTTTATATTATTTCTTCTATCAATACCAACGTCTTGCTTTTTAATATTCAAACATGGCCAGTAGAAGTCACTTCACCTTATTCCTCCATGAGGTCAATTTCAAAAACTTTGCTCTTTGATAAAACAAAAATTCCGTCTCAATAACATCTCCCAAAACCATACGTGTAAGGAGAAGTCGTCTTCGATTCACTGAAGTAAAATTTTATAGAAAATTTTTATTCAACATACAACATTTTTTTTCCAGCCAAAAAAGGCAATATACAGGAAGAATCATTGCACACTGTAGCTACAGAAACAAAATAAAATGAAACAAAACGGGGGAAAGAGGAAAAGAGAAAGGAGAGGAGATAAGAATGAAGGAAGGGATGAAGATAAAAGAATATGAAAATAAAGGAGAAAACAGTGAAGGGAGTGTAAATGGCAAATTCTAGCTTTACTCACTCAAAAAGAAGAAAAAAAAAAGTAGATAGACCACAAAGGTCGCCATTAGCTCCAAACTAAAACAGGGGAGGAGGCTGGGACCGAAATAAAACTACACACAATGAATATTGACATCTGAGGAATTCACTGGCAGACGCCCCCTGCCCCCCCCCGCCAAAAAGCGAAATCTCCAAGTGTTAAATTGTACATGTTCCTTTGTTAAATATACAATTCCATTTTCTGCCCCCTCCCAAGCTCCCTGCCCCCTTTTTACAAAGTCAACAGCTTACTAAATGCTAGTGAACATGCCCTCAGTGCGAAAAAGCGAGTTTGCTTGTCTTCACGGATTAGCTAAAATTCAGTATAAATCGGGTGATTCCCCCCCCCCCTTCTGCAATCCCACTGAGATGCCGGCCGCTATACCTGGAGATTATTTCATAATCAAAAGGTTTCCTTCTTCTGAGTAGTTTCCAAAAGGAATATTAAAGACGCCGTGGCTCTTTTGAGGATTTTGAGGTCTTCCTTGGCAAAAAGTGATGTGGGGGAGTGAAGGGGGAAACTCTGACTCAAAACAACAATAATAAGAATAATATCCTAAGAATAAAAAGAGAACTCCTAGGCTGATTGAAAAGACGTTTCTCCCCCGAATAAGTGCCAACAGTGTACACAATGAAGTAGAGATTGCTATTTATTGATGATGTGAGTTTCTCTTCGCATTTACAAATGCACAAAAATTTCATTTAAAGTATATAACTGAAGGAAAGAAATCAAACGTGAGCCTAACCACAGTGCCAGCTAGCTGCAGTGATGGCAGGTACCACGCATTGGGGGGGGGGAGAGGATTTGGGGGGGGGGAGAGAAAGGAGGGATGGGGAGGCAGCCCGCACAGACTGTGCCCATAAAGGTACTACAGACAAAGAGTTTGCCAATGTCAACGGTCCTATTCAACCCTTCCCTTGTTTTATGCTGACCATCTTGCCTGCTTTACATTTCCCATAAAAACTCTCATTGGCACCCGAGCTTTTTTTTTATATATAAAACACCTTCATTTTTTTGTTTTTGCTCAAAAAAGAAAAAAAAAATAGAGGGCAGTCAATAATAGATACAGAGAAGCCAAACAGAACAGCCTCAAAATAAAATTAATAAATCAGCAGCAAATTGTCTTGCTGGAGACTCCCAATCTCAAGTGCACGTGTACCAAAAGTCCTACAGTTGTTAAAAAGGTGCGCGCACGCATACACACACACACACACACACGCACGCGCACACACACACGCGCACGCACACACACACTTATTGTTGCCCCTTTTGCCTCGAACAAACTGGAGAGGGTAAGTCAGTTATGGATTTTAATAGCTTTTTCAAGGTACGTGTAGCGGCTTCTCTTTGGGGCTTTGTTGAAATGATCGAGGCCGAGCCATGGCCTGGGATGGGACATGTTGCCTGCAGAAAGAAAGAGGAAGCGTGAGTTAAGTTTCTGGAGGGTGGCTGTGACACTCGACAAATCCCAAGGAATTGTGACACAGATCCCGTCCACCTTTTGGCAAAGGAGGAGTCTCAAACCTCAAGTAGCTCCCACTGACTTGGAAACACACACATGCATGCAAGAGAGAGCACGCACGCATGCACGACACGTGCGCACACACACACACCAGACCCGCCCAGCCTCCAAATGAAGTTAAACGGATTCTCACCGGGTTGGGGCTCAAAATCTTTCAAGTTCACTTCATATTCGTCTTCATTAAGATACTGGTGCCGGCCCATCATTACAATAGCAAACTTAAACTTCAAAGAGAAAACAACAACAACAACAGATTTCTTTACTGCACTTCAGTGACTAGACTGCAACAAAAATTGGGCCACAAGAGAAAACGATAAAACCTTTGGAAAGATAGTTCAACGATCGCCAGCTCTGTGGGACGAGGGCTGGGGAGAAGTCAGCTAAGGGGAAAAGCAAAAAAAAAACAAAAAAAAACCCTGGGTCTCCAAGGTTGACTTTATTGAGCAAATACAAGTGGTCCTCGACTTACGACAGTTCATTTAGTGACCGAAGTTAGAACGGCATCGAAAAAAAGTGACTGATGACGCTTTTCACACTGCAGCATCCCCATGGTCATGTGATCAAAATTCACCTGCTTGACAACTGACTCATACTTATGACGGTGGCAGTGTCCCAGGGTCACGTGATCCCCTTTTGTGAACTTCTGACAAGCACAGTCAGTGTGGGGGAGCTGCATTCACGTAATGACTGTGTTACTAATTTAACAACTGCAACGATCCACTTAACAACCCTGGCAGGAAAGATCGTAAAATGGGGGCAAAACTCACTTAACAAATGTCTCACTCGGTCACAGAAACATTGGGCTCAACTGTGGTCGTTAAGTTGAGGATTGCCTGTATCTTTGGAGAAATTATCGCGAGGCGCTTCCCCCTTTTGTCATCCTAGCCCAGGGGTGGGCAACCTGGGCTCTTTTATGACTCGTGGACTTCAACTCCCAGAATTCCTGAGCCAGCCGTGCTGAGGGGAAAGGGAGAGGAATTCTGGGAGTTGAAGTCCATGAGTCATGGAGGGGCCAAGTTCGAAGACCCCTGGTTTAAATATTTAAATATTTTTTCCTCACAGCCATGTGATCAAAATTCAGGCATTTGGGCAGGGGTAGGCAACCTGGGCTCTTTTATGACTCGTGGACTTCAACTCCCAGAATTCCTGAGCCAGCCGTGCTGAGGGGAAAGGGAGAGGAATTCTGGGAGTTGAAGTCCATAAGTCATGGAGGGGCCACGTTTGAAGACCCCTGGTTTAAATATTTAAATATTTTTTCCTCACAGCCACGTGATCAAAATTCAGGCATTTGGGCAGGGGTAGGCAACCTTGGCTCTTTTATGACTGATGGACTTCAACTCCCAGAATTCCTGAGCCAGCCATGCTGAGGGGAAAGGGTGAGGTTTCCAAGCTGAGCCGTCCTGGCTCAGGAATTCTGGGAGTTGAAGTCCATGAGTCACGGAGGGGCCATAATTCCCCCATGCTGGTTGAGGAATTCTGGGAGTTGAAGTCCACGAGTCATGAAGGGGCCATAGTTCCCCCATGCTGGCTCAGGAATTCTGGGAGTTGAAGTCCACCAGTCATAAAAGAGCCAGGGGGTTCCCCACCCCTGTCCTAGCCTTTCACCTTTGGGCCCATCGTGGGGCAAGAGGCCTTTGAGTGACTCTCGAGCATCCAACAGTTGACAGTCTGGTTGTGAGATATTCCCTCCCAACCCCCAAAAGTGGAGGCAAAGGAAGCCCCAGAGAAGTATCTGCTTGGGAAGGGGGGGGGGGAGAGGAGAAATACGGTCCTCAACTTATAACTGGTCACTTAACCATTCAGAGTTATGACAGGTTCCTCCCCCCCCCCAAAAGCTGCTTGTAACCCATTTTTGAAGTTAGGACAGCTGGAGACCCCTCCTGCGGCCTCATGATCACATTTTGGGTGTTTGGCAGCTTGGTTCATCCTTAGGCACATTTGCTGCATCCCATAGTTATGTGACCGTAATTTACAATTTGTTTCCCTGTCATTTCCAGCAAAAAAATGCCCACTGGGGAAAAAACAATTAGCTCAATGACCACAGTGTTCATTTAACAAGAGGGAGGAATCCGTGTGGATTTTAATCCACTAGTTTTTGCTAACTTTAGGGGGGGGGGTGTGCTCATCTCCATTTCAAGGCCATTGAGTCGCCACTGCCCGAAGACATTTCCGCGGTCACGTGGCCAGCATGACGTCAGGGAGCGCTGTCAACTTACCACCAAAGTGGTACTTATTGATCTACTGCATAGATGCATGCTTTCAACCTGCTAGCTTGGGAGGGGCTGAGGGGAAGAGTGAGCGCTCACCCCATCATGTAGCATTTGAACCTGGGCTACTAGGTTTCCAGCCAACAAGCCCAGGGTCTTGATACCTCAAGTTACAACCACGATGACTTACGTTTATCATTCTCGTCTCTATCTATGCTTTCTCCTCTGTATTAAACCCAATTGTGTTTTACATCTCAAATATAAAATGCAACATTTGAAACATAGAATATTTGAGGTATTTAAATTTACAAAGCAATTCTAGGCAGTTTTATTCAGAAGAATGTAAGCAAGAACTCTATGGAGGGGGGAGAGGAGGTCCTTACAGATTCAATGAAGAAGGGACACCTCTTTCTTCTACCTCACTCTCATGCCAATTCTAACACCCATCACACTGTGCAGAGTAACAGGCATTCTACCTCAGATCAATACCTTTTCAAATTCCTTCTCTTGGATGTCCAGGACTGTCTGAATCCTCTTCATCACTTCTCGAAAATGTTCACCCTAGAAGCATCAGAATTCCAGAAATACACATTAATTCTAGCACGTTAAAGAAGCCCAAGCATATATTGTGCTAGTAAACTGTAGTTCTCTGTTTGTTTTATACATCTGAAATGATGCTTACTGATGCTGAAAGTTTTGTTTTGTGTGCCTATACTGTATAAAAGTTGAACAACTGCATGTACACATTTATAAACATTCCTGCACATCCATCCTTGCACACTAAGTTTACCAGCTAAGAATGTTGACCAAAAATTATGGTGAGGGGCTTGGAATGAGCAATAATAAGAACTTTGTGAGACTTGATCAGTTACTGGTTTGGGAAGACCATCCATCACTTTTGGTCTCCAGTGCAACAGAATTTCTCTTCTGGTAACACAGACTCAATACAACAACAGTCTCTACTGCAACACAACCCACCTGGTGTATCCTTAGCAAGAAAGGGGTGCCAAATGTCCCAAAAACCTCTTTCTGGAAATGAGCCACTGTGATTAGCATCTCATTCTCCTTATCAAGTTCCACCTGGTCCAAAGGAATTTCCTACGGCAACAAAGATCAATGGAAGATGCTGGTTAGGAAGAACTGTCCAACAGTAGCATAAGCAGGAGAGTTGAAAAGCATGGGAGTAATAGAATCAGAGCTTCTGAAAGCAAAGCAAGATGCAGACACTGCAAGATCTCCAGGTGAGCATAGACAAAGCTCCCTCAGGCACTTTGTCAGCCCTTGGTGCTCTTTTATCCCCACCCTTTACAAAATTTATTAATTCTGGTAATCTCTAGCCTGACAAAAATGATGATATCAAAAGCTTGTCTCATCCAATCAATCAAATGAACTGGAGAGAGCAATTATATTACAGTTTGGGGACTACTGCCTCCTGAAAAAAAAAAAAAACTTGCCAGCATGTTCTCTCCTCCCCTCTCCCCCCACTCCAATTTTAAGAGGGAAACCTCCTCTTTTTTCCTTTAAAGAGCTCCTGTGTTGCAAATGTTAGATCTACTGCATCAGTTCAGATCCGGTCTAAGGATTTTGGTCCTAGAGGCAGATAAACCAAACAAGCACCTGCTCCTGAAAACAAATGAGTACAAAACTCACAGGTGTATGGATGACAACTCCCACAATTCCCCAGCCACCATGCTGGGCTGGCTGGGGAATTCTGGATATTGAAGTCCACACATCTTGAAGATGAGGTTGAGAAACGCAGATCTGACAACAATTCCCCTGAGGCAGCTTTATTACAGCTGATCATTTCAGTGAGGCCTGCAGGAGAAGCTCTTTGTGAGGCCTTTCCTACACCTCATCTAACTTTTCCTAATAAAAGCAATTTCCCCTCTTGCCTCTTTGCATACATGGGCCTCAGAGCCCCGTAAATGTGGTAGGACTCATTGGGAATTAATGGATTTTCTCAACTGCATCATGAGGAAATGGGTAATTCACCTAACTATGGTTTATTGAACAAGTCACAATAGCCTGGATTGTGCATTACAACGAACATCGAACAAAGCACATTGGGGTTGAATTCAGAGGAGGGACCCAGCCATGAAACCTGCTTGGCCCTGCACGGTCTTTCCAAGGACCTGGTAGTCATGCTTGACATTGTCTCAAAACTGACCTCTATTCGAAATGTCCGACTGGTTGCTGGCGATAAGCACTCTAGCAATTCATCTTCCTGATGGACACCAATGATTTTGTAACTTACAATTTCTAGCAGCCTTAACAAAAGAAAGACAGTGTTAAGAATACTCACAAACTCACAACTGGACTCCTGAGGACGTTCTGTTTCTTTGGACAGAACTTAGCGCAGGAGGCGAGATGACTTTTAGTAAGATGCATTCCGATCGGGCTCAACATGCATTTTTACAATTGATAAAACGTAGCCCGGTAAAGAGAAGGAATTAAAAACATTTTCAAATTGGTAATCAGGTTTACCTTTCCTAATTTGTTCAAGTATACTTTCTGCTTTCTGTAGATCTCTGGAGCAGGGGAAAAAATCTTTTAATTAAATAAACACTTGCCTTAATTTCCCTGAACCTCTTTCAGCAAGTTCTACAGCTTTTTTACATTCATCTAGTAAGTCTCGCACGCATCCATGTTTATCTGGATATAGTGTTATTTCCTAAAAAAAAGTTAAGATGGGGGAAGAGAGGGAGGGAGAGAGGGAGGGAGGGAGGGAGGGAGAGAGAGAGAGAGAGAGAGAGAGAGAGAGAGAGAGAGAGAGAGAGAGAAGCAGATGCCAATAATTAATTGCTATAAAATGCAAAAGGAAAGTTAGAAGGAACAAGTTCTCGAGTCATATACAAATGCTAAAACTTACCAACTTTGTTTGATACTACAAAAGAACCACTAAAATGGAAGTAGGCTACACTGCATACAAATAATGTTCTAGGTATCCAATAGGATTTGAAGAAGAAAAAAATATTGAATAAAAAAAAGAGCTTTGGATAGTGAGACGGGCAGCATGTAAATTTAACAAACAACAGGTTAATTAATTTCATCTTTGTGCAAACAAAAGGAGACTTGTGAAATTAGAACACTGCCGAGCAATTATTCAGTTAATTTATGTAGGGAGGTGAAAAGCTAAGTAACAACAACAAATCCCTAGATCTGTTAGAGATAAAAATTCTGATTTGCCCCTCAAATATTCTATTACCAGAATTCTGAAACTGGTAAACATTTTGTAATTTATAAGACAAATAAGTGTAACACAAATTTAAAAAAATGAATAAAACTTGCTATTTGATCATTCTGAACACTACAACATACGAAAGGGCTTACCTCTTCCCTAAATTGGCTGTTTAGCCATATGCACTTAAAACTTCTCCTGTTTTCAAAGTCTGTGATTTTCATTTTAAGCTATGGAGAGTTGGGGGGGGGGGTAGGAGAGAAAAGACACTATTTTAATCATACAGAAAAACAAGCCAAAACAAACAAGATTGCAGAGGTAACGAAAGCCCCTACCTGCTGATAATAAAGTTTTTTCGGTTGTCTGGGTTTGAAAAACTGCAGGAGATCTCTTAAGGTTCCATCATAATTATGCCTAAGAGGGTTACCTGGACCATCCCTGTAACTAAAAATCAGATAGACAGAGAAGTGGAAAAAAAGAAATCTTACTTTAAAATACTTTCTGCACATTTTAATTGGTTTTTTCCCCTGTAATCAGTCTTTAATATGTTATATATTCTGTTTGATATCAATTATGATTTTCCCCTGCCTTTCAAATAAAGAGAGAGAGCCCTGGTGGCTTAATGGTTAGAATGCAATATTGCAGACTAATTCTGCCCACCGCCAGCAGCTCGATCCTGGCCAGTTCAAGGTTGACTCAGCCTTCCATCCTTCTCCGGTCAGTAAAACGAGGACCCAGATACCTGGGGCCAACAGGCTGACTCTGTAAACCACTCAGAGAGGGCTGTAAAGCACTGTGAAGAAGTATATAAATCCAAGTGCTATATACAGGTTTTACAGAATCTACAGACATTTATCACCTTGTGGAAGACATATTTTAAAAATCATGCTACTTAAAAAGTATGCACGTTGATCCATGATGAAGATCGCCAACTTGGAAAGAAAGTTTAACCAGAATGTCAATTGCACCAGGATATATACTACACAGAGTTATGTGCAGTGTGAACCAAAATCCAATTCACCTGTAGAAAATTTCCAGCTATGCAAAATGTTGCAAATTACCTTCTGTGCACAATTGGCAATTCTCTCCCCAAATCCAGGATTCTACCCTGGAGATTTTTGGCATCAGGAATTATACATGAGATATCATTTTCCCGCATTTGTAGTTTTCAGCATCTACATTACAACGTGAACCAGACAATACATTTGATCAACATCTCTTACCCTTGGGACTTGAAAAACTGCAACAGCATAGGGTCAGTATTAAGCCTCTGAGCCACTGTCTTTGCAACCTGAGAAGATTTAAAAGAAAGAAAGAGAGAGAGAGAGAGAGAGAGAGAGAGAGAGAGATATGAGATGAATTTTCGTAAACAATGGAACAGCTTCCCTCCCAGAGTTGTGGATTTAGAAATTTTGACTTTACTTCCATACCACATTATTTCCATACCCATTGGGGTACAGAGAAGGGAGTAGATACCTGAAAATAATTCATTCTGTTGGACAATGTGACAACGAAACCAGGATCATTGGGGATAGTTTTATCACAAAAGATGACGTCAACTCGGTGGTAGAGATCTCGGAAGTATTCTTTTGCTGTCGCTAATTCACTGTTGTCGTTTTCAGGGTCATCCCTTGTAAGCAGAAATTTTTTTTTTAATTACACAAAAACTGTTGAAATACTGAAAAGGTGATCGAAATCTGTAGCTCCTGGTCAACCTTTACAAATTATTCTGTCCAAGTGAACAGACCTGTGCTATAAAAAGTAATTTTAACAGTGAACTACTAAAATAATGTACCCATGCTAAAAAGAACAAAAATGAGAGTGAACTGTTTTTTTTAAAAAAATAATTTCATAAAGAAATAATTGTAATCACAAATTGTAGCCAGCCAACATAGCCAATCACTCAATTAAAATTCCAACAGATTATGAGCAAAATAGGATGAACATTTTGTTATGAGGGATTCAATATCTCACTTAGAATGATGCTCTGCCAGAGTATTTCAAGTAAACTGTATCCCACTAGAATGAAATTTGAGAAATGTTGAGTGTTTCACTACACAATAGGTAAGTAGTTGAAACAAATACTTTACTCCTTCAATTGTTGTACTGAGGTCACAATATTAAAAGCAGTAGTAGTTTACTCTTACTACTTCCATCACTTAATTATCAAAAAGTTGACAATGGAGATCATTTTTAAATGTCATTAGACTTTGAATAGACAGGGGGCAAAAAAGGCATGCCTAAATCGTTAAAAGAGAGATCCAATCTGGATCTAAGGAGAAATCTCATGAGAGAGAGAACAACTAACTAACCCAAGGGTAGGCAACCTTGGCCCTTTTATGACACGTGGACTTCAACTCCCAGAATTCCCATGTTGGCTCAGGAATTCTGGGAGTTGAAGTCCACGAGTCATAAAAGAGCCAAGGTTGCCTACCCCTGATTTAGGTGTATTGGACCACACCCTCCAAACCCATATTGATTGGGCTGCTGGAGGTTATGGAGGCTGAAATTGCACACATCCAAAAGGACATTCCATTGGGAGAACCTGGGATTGAAATTTTCAGAGCTCTTCCACAAAAATAGTTGCAAGCCTACTTTTGAAATACAATGATGTCACCGTCCATGAGTTCGTCAAGAGCTTTGTCAAGGGAAACATCATAGTCTTGAATTCTCTCTGTTAAATTCGGTTTAACTTCCTGGAAAATAAACAAACAAGAAGTTAAGGGACTAGTTATCCTAAATTAAGGAGAAATAGCTCAGTTTCAATCCTAAATAAAAACTGCATATACTTTTTGTATAGGTAGTTCTAGTACACATACACTAGTATTCTGCATCATACAGTACGTTTAACAGCTATTCCTGAAGGATAAAAAATGTACTCTAAGCCAGTGGTTCTTAACCTGGGCGATATTGCCCCCTAGGGGGCTATTTCATTTTTCAGGGGGGCGATGGAACGAAAAGGGGGCGATATGGGGGCGATGGAGCGAGAAGTTTTGGGGACACTTTTGAGACTTTTTCATACAGTGAATCGCTGTATATCTGTCGTACAAAAACATCGCTATTAGTGGATTGAATTGGGTTTTCAAATGTTCCTCCAGCTAGCTTCAGTACAGAACGCCGTATATATGTAAATACCCATTGCTTATCTTCATGCGTATTGTGCAGCAGCCTCTACCCATACAGTGGCGCGCCATTAGCCAGAATATGGGAGATATGGGGAAAAGACTGGAAATAAATTATTTGCATCGATATGTCCTGAGGAACAATTTTAAAGAAAACAAAAAAAGTGTTTGCAAAAATGGAAGAATTATTTCCCATGTTGTGATTGAGAGGTTATGTTGGGGGAGGGGGGCGATGACAACTTCCTCATTGGCTCCAGGGGGCGATTCGTTCAAAAAGGTTAAGAACCACTGCTCTAAGCCATGCCCTGAAGATAACTTTGAGTTACAAACACTAACAAATGTATTCCAGCCTTAGCGCTGAGGGATCTATCCAATTTCTATTTTGGAAAGAACAAAAGTAAAATGATTAGCCTCTGTGGGTTTTGCAATTTTCTTTTAATAATATTTTATGAGAGAGGCTTCCCAGAGTCTAGAAAAAGATATGGCAGTTTGTGCAGTGATACAAGCACGGAAGACCGACGTGTTTGAGGTATCACTGGGGTAATAAACTTAAAATTGGTAACTAAAGCAAAGATAGTTACAAGATTTCTGTAACCCAATTTCTCTTTCCCTTTCAATAAATCTGATTAAGGAAAGCTGAGTATCTTTATTTGAGTTCTAAGTTGCTGCTGAGGGTGTGATTCATTTTTAGAGGGTTACCTATATTTTTGTGCTTCATTAGAACCAACTGAGGCTCTTATACCACTGACAAAATTGTTCTGGCGTAACTTTTTATGTTGAGATATCGTCAAATATTTTCTTTCTCTCTGTTTTCAAAGGGACCATTCTTGGGTGAAAATGTTGTAAAAACGTAATGTAAAACTTCAATTATATAGATTAACTGAGGGGAAGGAATCATATTACAACCACATGATTCGCTTAACAATTATGGTGACTCAACTTATAATAGAAGCAAAAAAAATTAAGAAGAAGCTAGACAGCCACTTGCCTGAGATGGTATAGGTACTCCTGCTTGAACAGGGGGCTGGACTAGAAGACCTCCAAGGTCCCTTCCAGCTCTATTCTATTCTTCTTCTAGAACAGTGTTTCCCAAACTTGACAATTTTAAGGCATGAGGACTTCTGGGAGTTGAAGTCCTCATGCCTTAAAATTGTCAAGTTTGGGAAACACTGTTCTAGAAATTCTGATCTCAATAGTGGTTGTAAGTCAAGGACTACCTGTACTGTATGCAATATTAATTTTTTTTCCATGGGCCAAAAAACTGTCTTTATTTATATGGGGACATTGAATGCACGAATGAAGGCGAATCTACATGTCCCTGGATAATGTTGCAGGATCCAATCTGGATCCTGGTTTTGTGTTCTGCGCTTCTGGACTCATACTGGAGCCCATGCTTGGGGAATTTCTCTCTCTGTGCACACATTCTGGTGAGAGAGAAATTCCCCAAGGATGGGCTCCAACAAGTTGGAAAGCTCAGAAGACAAAACTTCGGGTCCTGGTGACCAACCTGGATGGGACTGAATGCAATTCGTAATTCACTGATGCGTCTAAAATTGCACCAGGCTCCATCTTATCCCCTTTTCAACACGTTCCCTTCTACTGATATTGCTGGATGGGGATTTAAAGGGGGGCTCCAGAGCTTTGCTGGTTGGTACCTTGTTAAAGAATCTGCATGTTCGCATAATAATTGTATGATTTCAGGAAAACACGTGTTTGAATTAAGAAAACACTTAATCCGCAAAGTTGTGGGTACCACCTTGAACTGAAATGTTTATTTTTGGGGGGGACTGCATGGCAACCACAACCAGTCTGAAACAGCTTTTTAGCTTTGGCTCCTGTGTGATGCAGATCTCTAGTCTGACCGGTTGTCCTTTGACAATTCCCAAGCAATATACAGTAACAGCACATTGCAACAGCAAGCGGGCAACTAAATTTCATTTTTGATGTGTGCTGTTATGCCCACAGTAAAAAAATGACAATAAAGGTTATCTTATCTTATCAACAGAACTCTTTATAATTTTCCAACCTCTAAAGAAAAGGGAGCGACTCAACCCAGATGGCCAATATTTGTAGCCCAAATTTAACTGAAGGTTTGGGTGAACAGATGCTTATAAAATTTGGGCAGAGCACCTTCAAGGAGGCCTTAATTCCTTGGGGAAGAACATAAGGGGCTTGACACTGCAGTTCCCTTAAAACAGTGATGGCGAACCTTTTAGAGACCGAGTGTCCAAAAACTGGCCCCACCCCCATTCCACCTCCCCGCTCTGCCCCGCTCTGCCCCCCATCCCCTGCCCCGCCTGCCCACAGGACCACTCACCACCTCCAGGGCCCTCCGCAGATCGCCCAGGCAGCCCAGCTGTGCCATGGCGGCCACGCCCTCTGCCCGCATCCTGCAGCATCAACTGCATGATGGGGTGTGAGGGCAGAGTCTTGTCTACGCTGCCTGGCTGCCATGTCCTTGGCTGCGCTGCTCCGTGTGGGCCACACTCAAGCCCTCCTTCAGGGGGGCTGCTGGAGAGGAGGGGGTCGTGGGGGGAGGCAAGGCTGGGGCAATGGCACGTGTGCCCACAGAGAGGGCTCCAAGTGCCGCCTCTGGCACCCGTGCCATAGGTTCGCCACCACTGCCTTAAAAGCAACTCTTTAACAACCTAGCTGTAGTTTTCTGGCCCACTCCACGGACAACACAACACTGCAGGTCTTGAAATTAACAGTGTGTGAGCTACTCAGGCCAGTCCTGTATACCCAACTTTGAAGATAAAATTCCACAAGCAATGATGATGTCCATAAGAAGCATTCATAAGAACATGAGAGCAGCGTATACGTGTTGACAGAGTTCTCATTATGTGTTGTTAGCATGTTCATTCTAACACAAGTGACCTAAAATGGCCCAATTTTTCTAGGGAAGTGCAGAATCATTGTTCAAAGTGGCTATTCCAATCTCAGAGGAAGCAGTACAACGGTTGCCTGACCTTACTGGTCTGCAGAGAGGGCTCTGAATATTTCCAGAATGTGGAACTATCAATAATGTCTTATTACAATCACAGACCAGCATTACAAATGAAAACAAACAGACAGATAAAATAGTGTATTACTATTAGTGGTGGATTATCAGTGGGCAGTTAGGAGTCAGCCTAATTCTGCACACAATATAACGAAATTTAGCCACATTCAGAGAAGCTACTTAGTACTGACCTATTAACCGCAGTTTTAGATAAAAGAGATCAGTATTTCCCAGGTATTTTATAAGGTGGAGTGTTATAAACTGAGTACGTTGAGTCCTTATAGAAAATTCAGTACAGCAGAATGTCAATTGTGGTTTCAACGGTCTCTTGTCCACAGGGATGGGCAACTAGTGAAATGCTTCCTAAGGTCACAGCAACCCATTTTCAACCTCAAATAATTTGCTATGTCTGATTTTTTCCAACAGCCCTAAAAGTTCAAATGTGCTAATTTCCATGCAAATTTCACAATGCAGAATGACAACTTTTTCAAATGAATTGTTACAACATGCATTTCATTAAGTTTTTTTTTTAAAAGAAACTCGTGGATTGGAATATTAATTTGGAAAATCTGCCAAACTTGCAATTCAACCCAAATATTTGGAAAAACAAAGACTTTCATTTAAAAGAAATGTGTTCATATTTGGATTGCTTAAAGTTTATTTTACTGTTAAAGACATTCATTCACTATGACAATATTTCATAACATCCAGCCTATCTTTTTCCAAGATAAATGTCTTAAAGAATAATTCTACTTTTAAGGAAAAGGTAAATAAATGGCCCAAACCTCATAGAGGATAAGATTAGATTCTTGGGGGAATCCTGCTCTTTCACACATAACTGGCAGCAAGTCACCTTTGAAGGAAGAACAGGAAAAAAAATACATATTGCAATTTCTGCTTCTATGGAAAAATACTGTGTCTAGAAATCACTTTAATTATCTAATGTTATGCTTTAGCTCAGCAATCGAACCTATAGCTCAAAATTAACTTGATCTCACTTTCTCTCACAGATTCCGCAGATAGAGGTAATGCTTACTGTCCTATATTTAATGAGGTCAGACAAATATATGATCTGAAACTACAGAATTTTATTATGAAAACCATAGTTATGTGGGGTGGAATACAGGGCCAGGTGGGACTGTCTTTTGGCTGAACACAATTCTTAGGGGGCTCTTTATGAGCAAGAAAAACATCAAAAACTTACGTATTTTGCAGGATATAGGTGTGTAGATATGTCCACAATAATTCAAACTTCGTGTCTTTGGGTCATACATTTTCAGGAACAGCATTACATCATCTACAAGTTCAGCAAGCAAAGACAATTTTCAGAGAACAAAATCTCCATTGGTGCTCAAGCTGTATGTATGTATGTATATGTGTGTGTGTGTGCGTGTGTGTGTCCGTGCGCACATGAATTTATTTTGTATAGTGTTAAAATATTATAAGAGGAATATTTGATATTTAATGATTTGGATCATGGTTTTATCCTTCTGAAGTGATTGATAAATCAATCATTCAGCCAATTTTAATTGTACTTCCAATCTAAGAACAGGGAATTTACTCAAAGGGGGGCTATCCACAAGGCTTCTTCTGACCAGTATTTCTCAATCTTGGCGATCTTAAAACGTGTGGGTTTCAACTGCCAGAATTCCCCAACCAGCATGTCTGACTGGGGATTCTGGGAGTTGAAGTCCAAGCATCTTAAAGTTCCAAGATTGAGAAACACTGCTTTAGATATCCAAGGGCTTAATGAATTGACCAACTTTTTTTTTTAACTAGATGAGAGGACTTCCAGATAACCTGGTTCATCCTAGTTAGGGAAGAAACAATTTATACAACACTGCAAAAAAATCATCATTTCATCAATACAAGCAGCTTCAAAATCCTACAATGCAAAATACTGACTTTTCTATGGAATGGAAGATGGCCATATTACCTCCTTCAGCTTGTAACTTACGGTCTTTGTCAAACTTGGGTAACGTTGCCCCCGTAGCAGCCATTTCTGGATCTACTGTTTCAAGGAATATTGTCCATGGGTTTTCATTGTCGCTGAGCTCAATCATCTGTGAGCGATCAATAAAGGGGAGGGAAATAAGCAATAAGCAAGGGAATGCAAAATAGTCAGAGGAAGGAACAGGTAATATTACATCTGCATTAGTGCAGAAGAGCATCTTTAAAATATTTTTAATAATTTAATAGTTGCATGGGATTAGTAGAAACCTGGACTCAAAATTTTGTTATAACCTGGGGGAGGGTGCCCTTGATCAGCTAGTGCAGTGATGGTGAACCTTTTAGAGACCGAGTGCCCAAACTGCAACCCAAAACCCACTTATGCATTGTCAAGTGCGGGTGGGTGTGGCCCATTGGGTGGGTGTGGCCCATTGGGTGGGCGTGGCTGCGATGGTAACGGCAGACTGGGTGGGACTAAAAAGTTCAATCAATCAGTTCCAACTTTGCAAGATCTTTTTTTTCTGCGAGGTTGAAATTGACTGATTGATTGAACCTTTTTTTTTTTTTGTACAGGGTGGCGGAGGTCTAAAGTGAAAAGTTTTTATAAAACCCAGCTGAAGGCCTAGGACTGGGGCGACGACACGCGTGCCCACAGAGAGGGCTCTGAGTGCCGCCTCTGGCACCCGTGCCATAGGTTTACCACCACTGAGCTAGTGTAATCCAGGACTCTGGGTTTTATATTTTGTTTTTAAATACGTTCAGATTAGGACAAATCCGGGCGTTCTTCCTAGGCCCAGCTAATTTTACATCTAAGAGTTCCCAATATCCTGATTTCCAGACTAGTGTCTTAGCTATATTGGCTCTCAATCTAGGGCATATGAAAATTTTAAATATTATTTAGGTTCCTTGGAAAAAAAGAAAAAAATGTACAAAATGAGGATTTTTATCTGTTTCCCTTTCTTAAACAGAAGTCATTTGGTGTATTGCCAGCACTATTTTAAAATTTATTAAATTAAAAAAAAATAGTGCTGGTAGCGCTATTGGTCATGTACTTTTCAAAACAACGGAATTTTACATGTGCAAAATTGTATGCGTCTATCTTAGACAACTGTGGAGAAATAAAGGTGAATAAATGAAATTAACTAATTTGGAATGGGACAAGATTTCAGATGGGCACTCACAGTTTTATTGCCATCAGCTTCATTGTCTAACATGGCTGGTCTTTTTGTCCCATTGCTTCGAGCTTGCATCGGCCATAACCGTATCTGATCTTGCGGGAAGCCCTACAAAATTAAAAAAGCAAACAAACATGCTGACTGGAGAAAGATAAGTCATTACCAGATCAGTGTCAGGTTTTTAATGTCCAAATGTCAAAATTATTCTATGTAAAAAAAAAATAATCAGGGACTAAACCCCAACCTCCTGCTGAAGACGCTCACCATTGTTTGGGAAAGGTTTTGAACAAATTCCGTCAGTGTGGAATTTTTCAAGACTTTAAACACGGTGTATTTCACCTTCTCTTCATCATACATGTCATTGCCTTGATGGCCACAGAACTGGTCCTCTGTTACTATCTGAAATTACACAAGCATTTGGTTATTGAAACTACCTAGAGCACAATGAGAGTCTTCCCTATTTCCACAAGGATGGGTAGCTTAGAAGTCAAACATTCATGTTCCGGCTTGTAGTTCCTGTCAACTACTCGTGCGTGTGTGTGCAGCAAATGCTAAGATCTAACTCAGATTCAGATCTGTGACAGAGGTAGCAGCTTTTGCTAACTTCTGCCTAGCAGGGGATGTTGGGTATGTTACAATGGTCATAAGTATGAAAAACGGGCATAAGTCACTTTTCTCAATGCTGTTGTAACTTTGAACTGTTATTAAACAAACTGTTGTAAGCTGAGGACTACCTGTAAAGTGGTACCTTAATACTCAACTGTTTTGAAACTCATTGAATTTGGTACTCAGTGCATTTTAACACAAAAGATTTTGTTCATCATTTGTTTGGCACTCAACGCACCAGCTAGAATTTGACGGTGTCGACTGCCTCGTGACTCACTACTTTATTCTTACGGGAAAATTTGTTTTGGTACTCGTCGCACCTCCCAGGACCAATTAACAATGAGCACCAAGGTACCACTGTACATCAAATCAACATCCATGGCTTATACTGAAGTCTTATGGAGAGAGCTTGCCCAACATCACAAAGATTTGGGCTGGGAATGTCAAGAGTCCACTGAGCCATAAACCCAATCAGAGTTAGGGATGAGCTTTTAGCCTTGGCTGGTTCACAGTTCTGTTATTACAGTGTTTCTCAACCTTGACAATTTTAAGGCATGTGGACTTCAACTACCAGAATTCCACAGCCAGCAATGCTGGCTGTGGAATTCTGGGAGTTGAAGTCCACATGCCTTAAAATTGTCAAAGTTGAGAAACACTGTGTTATTAGGATAAGTCAGAATGACCCAAATCCAGATGGAGGGGATGAGAATGAGGTCCAGTGAAGGGAAAATGAGCAGAAACGCCACTGAAAATTCATGGCAACTCCTTCTCCAAGCTCACCTGTACTTGCATATAGAGATGAGCTTCTTGTCTCTCCTTTCTCTTTTGGGCCTCTATTCTTTTTTCTTCCTGCAATCGTTCCACCAGCTGCTGAGGAATATCATGATCTGTGACTGCTTGCAAAACCTCACCTGAAAGAAATGCAACATTGGCATTAGGGGAGTTTTAAATGCAGGACAAAGCAGCCAATGACTTGAGGATGGTCATTTCTGTTTGTGTCTGTCTGTCTATCTGTCTGTCTAATCTCAGATATTTGAGGGACTAAGGTCCAGCAAGACAGGAAGAGCAGGTCAACCTATTTACCAAAACACCAGAAGGCAAGACAAGAAACAATGGATAGAAACTAATCAGGGAGGGAAGTAACTTCCTAACAATGAGAACAATCAACTATTGGAACAGTTTGCCCTCAAAAGTTATGGATGCTTCATCACTAGAAGTTTTTTTAAAAGAGACTGGACAGCCATTTGTCTGGAATGGTCTAGGACAGTGGTTCTCAACCTGTGGGTCGGGACCCCATTTGGGTTCGAACGACCACTTCACGGGGGTCGCCAAACAAGGCTGTCCGCCATTTTTTCCCCCTTTTCCTTAGCTGTGCTACTCCCTTTTATTCTGTTGGCTTTGGAAAGCCAATAGAATAGACTCTCTTGAATAGAGTCTAATTCTATTGGCTTTCAAAAGCCAATAGGAATTGTCCAGGCTGTCTCTGCCCTGCTGAGCCCGCCAAAAGTCCCATTCTGCCAACGGTGCTGCACCAGTTGAGTAGTCCTTGACTTACGACCGGTTGAGTAGTCCTTGACTTACAACCGGTTGGGGGGGGGGGTCGCGGCATTAAAAAGGTTGAGAACCACTGGTCTAGGATCTCCTGCTTGAGCAGGGAGTTAGGTCTACAAGTCTTCTAGTATCCCTTCCAACTCTGTTACTCTGAATGTGGTAAGCATTGTCCAAGGAAGAATGTCATATGATGGGACCCAGGAGGAAACATCTTATACTCCAGTAACCACCCTCTGAAATATTCTCATCAGAAGTGAGACTTGTCCCCCAACGGCTACCCTTCTATTAAAGCCTAAAATCTTGGCTCTGTTGCTTGGCCTGCCACACTGGGGGGGGGGGGAGAAATGATGCGTAGAGAAGATTCTTATCCCGGGCTCCCCCATCATCTTGGTTCTTAGCTTTTAATCCTTTAAATTGTTTTTACCGCTTTTAAAATGTTTCATTATATTGTAATCTGCCCAGACTTATTGTATTAGTGAGTTGGGTGTACAGAAAATAAATAAATAAATGAGTGAGTGAGTGAACAATGAGCCTGATTCTTGCCTAAGGCCCCTTTGTTATGTTCTACATTACAGGGGGTTCTCAACCTTGGCAACTTTAAGACTTGTGGACTTCAACTCCGAGAATTCCTCAGCCAGCTTTGCTGGCTGAGGAATTCTGGGAGTTGAAGTCCACAAGTCTTAAAGTTGCCAAGGTTGAGAACCCCCGTTCTACAAGAAAGCAGAATGTATTGGCCTCCCTCCCGTTCGTTCATAATACAAACTGTATTGCGACAGAGGGGATTGTTTGCAAGCCTTCAAAGAGTCAGTTTTCTATCAGAGATGATGAAGTCATTTGCACTGGTGAACTGCTAGAAAGAACTTTAGTATTTGAAATTTCACTCTTCCACTTAAGACTATTTATTTATAGTCACCAATCTTTTTAAACACCATGATATAACATTCCTTTGGAATGTTAAGCCTCTTAACGACATGATTTCTTTCCAGCAGTCTGGATTGCAGATTCCATGAAATACTGCCCAAACTGACATCATGAAAACTGCTAAGCACGTCATACTTTTTAAAAAAAAACAGATGATACAAATTATTGTGTCTCTCAAGGACAGCATTTCCTTCAGTAGTTAGAAATGTTTCTGTACTCAGTATGGCACACACGTTATTTGTGCATGTCTTCATCTGAAGAGAGAGAGATAGATTTTAAACAATAAGCAGAACTTCAGATAAGTTCGTTCTGGGTCCCAGAGAGAGGCAGCCAATAGCTTAAGCCTTGTATTTATTGCAATGATTTATAGTTTAGAAGAAGATTCTTTTGATTTGCAGCTTTTTAAACTGTTCTAAGATGGAGTGCAATAGTCAAATTTTAAATCTCAAGCCCTTTCAGTACGAAATATTCCAAATGATGGGATTGGCTATAGAAAAATGTCCAATATTATTCTCCAGATGGAGACAATTTGTATCTAGCTTTGCTGGCTGAGGAATTCTGAGAGTTGAAGTCCACAAGTCTTAAAGTTGCCAAGGTTGAGAACCCCTGTGCTAGCAGTTGTTTTTCCATTCCTTTTTGAAAGGGAACATCCAGGAATCAGGCTTTTTAAATACTCAGTTTCTCCCTTTTTCACAACAAGAAACCTGGCAGTTTCTGATACCACCTTAAAATATATAGTTTAAGTAATCAGAGAAACAAGTAACACTTTTCTTATTATTTTAAACTTCATTTGCCTCCCCTTCATTTTAACATCACAGTTTTGCAAGCGTGGTCTCAGAAGTGCAAAACGTGAGACAATTCTTAAATACAGTGTGGAGAAAGACAACATTCAGGTCTGTTTTACATTTCAAAAGCCACATCCCAGTAGTCTGTAGAACACATGAGAGGTACACCTACTCAGTTTTGACTCCCTGATATAAACCAACATGTATGCGTTGGTACAGTGTCGCACAGATAGGTCATCGTCGTGGCCTCCATAGTTATGTTCAATTGCTTCTTCTTTTGTACATCTAGATACAACATCATCATCAAATTTACACCACTGTGAAAATAAAACAATGAATGTAAAAACCGCAACTTGTAGAAAGTATTCAGTAAAACATTTACGCTCTAAATTTTAGAAACTTAACAGAGATAAATTTATTCTAATTTGGGATGCTAAAGCACTGCAAACTGCCTTGTCCCAAGCAGACCCAAATGTGTAACTCAGAATTGCCAAGGAGTAACAGAAAGCCTTAAGTTTGACACTGGAGCAATCAGCTGGGATTCATTCTAGATCATGTTTCTCAACCTTGACAATTTTAAGGCATGTGGATTTCAACTCCCAGAATTCCACAGCCAGCATTGCTGGCTGTGGAATTCTGGGAGTTGAAGTCCACATGCCTTAAAATTGTCAAGGTTGAGAAACATTGTTCTAGATTGTACAAGCCAAGAAGAAGTCTCAGAACAGATCCAGGTTTCTCCTTGTTTGTTCCTTTGTACTGGAATTGTTTCAAATCCCTCTTGCATGTTAAGCGTAGCACACAGAAAGAAGGCTGCATGGCTATTTCTTAATAAAACCAAAAAACTTAATATCTAGCATGTTAAAATATTTGGCGATGCAGCATTTAAACAGAAACTATAGATTATTCAAGTTATGCAAACAGTTTTTCCCCTGACATCTGATAAAACAAGATTAATAACTTTTCTAAAATCTCAGAGTTAATTTTCCACAATTTCCAAGACATTATACATGGGGAAAAATATATCACTCCTGATGCTAAAATTGTTAACAAGTATATCAATTAAAGGATTTCCAGTTAAATTATTTGATGGTTTTTCTATTACTTACTTTTCCATCCCCTTTCGGGTTCAAGTAAACAACATAATGCCCCCCATGATTATCACCACTGTGTACGAGCACCGCGTGAAGAATATAATTTGCAGCATCTTTAGGATCAGTTTTTTGCAAGAATTCATCCAGAGGCAACTGATCTGGAAATTCAAACCTTTTACAAAAATAGGAGGAAAAAAAGAGAGTTATGTGGGGTTTGGAAATGCATTCAGTAATCAAGTTCTGGGTAACACATAAATGCATCACCTTTGAGAGATCAGTTGCATTGCTAGGCTTCTTATTTAGTATAGGTATCATAAAAAAATTTCTCTTTACTACAGAATTGTTGTGCTATGTATGATTGTTTGCTAAGTTGTAAAAGATTAAGGCAGGAAGGGAGGGAAGGAAGGAGAAAGAGGGGGAAAGAGAGAGACGGAAAATTATAGAGAAATAATTTTTACTGTAATTTTTTTACAGTAATTTTTAAAAATTACTGAAATCACCCTGCCAAATGCAGAAAAATTTCAGCGTTATCTTTTCCCCACCTTCCTAATTCCGTGAAAACCGAGGTTAGAATGTGTTTGCAGGGTCTCCTCAATTTTAGCTTTGTTGCAAAAGCTGAAGACTCTACAAATGAAGCTGAGCATTTCTACATCATTTACCGAAAGGGCAGAAAACAGAGAGGAATGGCCTTCTGCCAATTCACATCATCAGCCCACCTGTGTTTTTTTTTTTTATCAATACCCATCTTTCTGGCTGCAGGGCTTCCCAACTCTACTTGGCGAAGACAGAGCCTGTCTATCACAGAATGCATTTACGGAAAGCGTGAGGACCCTTCTTAAAACTAGGGGGTGGGGTGGGGGGGAAGGACAGCAGTTTCCTGAAGTTTCCACAAAGAGCTCAAGATACCCCTTACGACAGCTCTGAAGACTCTTAAGCAGTGGTTCTCAACCTGTGGGTCGGGACCCCATTTGGGGTCAAACGACCATTTCACGGGGGTCGCCAAATAAGGCTGTCCGCCATTTTTTCCGCCTTTTCTTTGGCCACACCCCTGGCACCCGGTGATGTATAAGTGGTTGGGGGGTCACCACAACATGGGGAACTGTATTATGGGGTCGCGGCATTAGAAAGGTTGAGAACCACTGCTCTTGAGACTTGTTATAACGTAAGCAAGATCACAGGATCCCAGCTAGTGTCTCCCAATTGCTGAAAACAAACTTTTCAGGGTTATGCATCGCTCCCTGTCTGTCCAGGGGCATGCCTTTGACACGGAGCGACTGCCAATGGTGCAAAGTTATTCTCATCCACTCAGCGGAAACTGAAACCCCACATTAGAATCCTGACCATCACTCATATAAATATGTTACCTATCATTTATCTTGATGTTCTGGTCCGTCTGGGGATCGTACATGAAGCGCATGAGTTGTAGGTGTAGTACGGGGGGCAACGTTAGGAACTTGACCCCTTTTTCTGCCTCCTGCGTGTGAAGCAGATAAATACACAGATGAACAACTGAGTTATTACCATCACCTGCTGAAAAACGGGCTTTCAACCAGAATGGCAAAGTGGGCCTCAGCTTGACATAAAATATAGTCCTTGACTTACAACAGTTCATTTAGTGATCGTTCGAAGTTACAACGGCACTGAAAAAAGGGGTTTATGACTGTTTTCATACTTATGACCACTGCAGCATCCCCATGATCGTGTGATCAAAATTAAGATACGTGGCCACTGACTCATATTTATGACGGCTGAAGTGTCCCGGGGGTCGCATGACCCCCGTTTGTGACCTTCTAACAAGCAAAGTCAATGGGGAAGCCAGATTCACTTAACAACTGGTTTACTGACTTAATAAGCTACAGTGATTCGCTTAACAAGTGTGGCAAGAAAGGTTGTAAGGTGGGGTAAAATTCACCTAATGACTGTCTTGCTTAGCCACAGACATTCTGGGTTCAATTGTGGTCAAAGACTACCTGTACAGGAGTCAAACTGCTGATAGGGCAAACCAGCCAGGATGGAACAGCACCCAGGTTCAAGCTGCAGCACTGGCTGCCTGTGGGCTCCCGGGCCAAAATGGTGGCCATCTCCTTAAAGCTCTACGCCAGCGGTGGCGAACCTATGGCACGTGTGCCAGAGGCGGCACTTGGAGCCCTCTCTGTGGGCACACACACCGTCGCCCCAGCCCTGCCTCCTCCCACGGCCCCCTCCTCACCAGCAGCCCCCTGGAGGAGAGTCACCCCCGGGCATGGCCCACGCAAAGCAGCGCAGCCAAGGACATGGTAGCCGGGCAGCGGGGACAAGACTCCGCCCTTGCACCACGTCGTGCGCAGATGATGCTGCAGGGCACGGGCAGAGGGCGTGGCCGCCATGGTGCTGCTGGATGATCTGTGGTGGGCTGTGAAGGTGGTGGGTGGCCCAGCGGGCATGGCGGAGCGGGGACAGGGGTGGTGGTGGGGTTTTGGGCACTCGGGTCTCTAAAAGGTTCGCCATCACTGCCCTGTGCAGAACAGCACCATCGGGCATCTATCATTTGTTTCATGATCATTTCACAGCACCAAAGAAAGTGATTTACAACCAGCCCTTGCACTTACAACAGATACAGCATTCCCACGGTCACAAATTCCAGTGCTTGGCAATCAGCACGCTTTTAGGACAGTTGCCGTGTCCCGGGGTCATGTGATCGCCATTTGTGATCTTCGGAGTGGGGGGGGTCCCAATAAGCAAAATCAACGGGGGGGGGGGGAATGCTGAATTTGCTGAATGACCACAGCAAAAAGGTAGTAAAAGTGAGCGTGACCCACTGAATGACCGCATTATTTAACAATGAAGGTTCTGGTCCCAATTGTGACAGTAAGTCAAGGATTATCCTTGTCTGCCTGCCTATCCATCTAAAGCAGGGGTAGACAACCTTGGCTCTTTTATGACTCGTGGACTTCAACTTCCAGAATTCCTGAGCAGCATGGGGGAACTATGGCCCCCTCATGACTCGTGGACTTCAACTCCCAGAATTCCTGAGCCAGCATGGGGGAATTATGGCCCCCTCATGACTTGTGGACTTCAACTCCCAGAATTCCTGAGCCAGCATGGCTCAGCTTGGAAACCTCTCCCTTTCCCCTCAGCGTGGCTGGCTCAGGAATTCTGGGAGTTGAAGTCCACGAGTCATAAAAGAGCCAAGGTTGCCTACCCCTGATCTAAAGATTTGTGTGATCACCAATCTTAAAACAATTCTGGGAGACTCACACCACCAGTAAAACTAGAAAACCATAAAAAAAAAACACATGACAAAAACTAAAGAAAAAAAAGCCAAACATTCCGTTACGTGCCTGGGATGTCCTCCCCCTCTTCCCAGCCCTTGGGGGAAGGCCCAGCTTCTTATGGCCATCTGTAAAGGGGAACTGTAGATGTAAATGTAAAAAGGGGACTACAAGATTGCCGGGGTGGGGAGAGCGTTCTATGGGGTGGGGGCTACTATGGAAAAGGCATGCTTCCCGGGTCCCACTGGATGGCAATATTTAAGAGGGAACTGGAGGACACCTTGTCTGTGATGCCCCCCCCCCCTTCATGGAACCCTCTTTGCCTTGAAGGATGGGGAACCTCCATCTGACTAAACATCCTGCAAGTTAGTTAAATTTGCTGATTTGATTGAGGGCACTGTGATTCCACTGTTATGCTTCTTTCGGGGGGATGTTGGCTATGCTGGTGTTTGACCCAGAGTCCTTCTGGGATAGCACCATTAATAAACAAACACACTTAAATAAGCTAACACGCTGCTTACGCATGCTATGCTTCTCTGGCACCTTTTGCAATTCCACAGACCCGACTGAAGGCTAAGCATACCTGCAAACCATGTTCTCCCGCATCATATTTGTTATCTCCATCCAGCTGTTCCACTGCAACATAATCGATGAAAGACTCAAAGACTGAAAGAGACAAGGAAGAAGAGCTTTATGTATATGCTCCATATTAAAAAGGTATGAAATATACCGGTGGACACAACATTTTTCCCTCCCCACAACTGAACCGAGGTAAGTCCACAAGTCATACAAAATAGAGTCGGGAGCTAGTTGAATTTCATGAATGATTTAGGAGTCCTTGGTGCTCTCTGAGCAAACCCCACTCCCTTCGACACAGATGATGTCATCTAGTTGGGTAACGAAATGTCTGCAAGCAAACCGCCAAGCTCAGAGACAGTTAAGGACTCCCCAGTTCTACCCTGAGCTTAACCCTGACCCCACCACCACCATCACTGATGATTTCACTTAGTTGGGTAATGAAATGTCTGCAAGCAAACAAACTCAGAGAACATCAAGGACTCCACAGTTCAACCCCAGCTACATATATTCTACTGGAAAAGAAGGGCTTGTTGGGGCACATGAATTCTTATTTAAGAGAACACATACTTACTGTTTTTCTTTCCTTTTATACTAAGTTGAATATCATAATAATCCTCTATTCGTTCAGATCGATAGTCTACGTGTTTGCACTGGATATAGGACTGCAAGTAAAAATCAGGTGGTGGGACACCGAGGCAGGTGAACAACGCGACCATTTATCCTCCACCCCACACGTCCAATACCTACCACCATTTTCCCTCTGAATAATTTAGGGATCGTGCCTTCTACGCAGGTGCCTTTCATTTTGTTTTCGACATTATCAAGCAACTGGGGAAAAAAAAACACCCCAGAATGCCTGAATTAATAATGAGCAGCCATTAGAATTCTATAGTCTCGGACAACACAGGACAGAGAAAGAGGTGTGTGTGTGTGTGTGTGTGTGTGTGTAGGGGGGGGATGCTCGGCTATCGCTCATGCAGGCCCATCCAGATAATTATTTAGTTTTCATCTTAAGTCTGATTGCAGGTTCTGAAGACCTCAAAATGACATCTTCTCAATTCAAGAAAGGCACAGGCAGCCATTACTGGCAGGAAAACAAATTTACACAATCCTTCAGATCTTTCGCTCATCAAATAGGGTCCCCACTTGTCAAAGAAAAGCTTCCTTTGAGTCAAACTGCACTCCAAGTGACCTTATAACCATTTCCATATAGTTTCCTTGGCAACAATATGGAAATTGTCTGCCACGGCCTTTTCCTTTGGGGGGGGGGGCTCTTTTCCTGGTCTAACCTGCATTACTCAGGGGTCTCTCATCCAAATATTAACTCGGCCCATCGTGGCTTAGCTTCTTGAGATCAGCCAAAATGCTACCATTTGCTATGACTGTAAAAAATCTGAACTCAATCTTGGTTAGGCCCATTATTTCTACAAACCAGCAAAAATGCCATTTTCAGCCCATGGACCCCTTTTGCTTTTGAGTAACATGCTGGACTTTTGCACCCTAAAAAGGAGGGGAAGCCAGAGTAAGAAAACGGATGGGGGCCAAGACACAATTTATAATCAATCAATCCAATGTAATTGGAATTAAGCACAATTAATAAAAGCAAGCACGTAATATGATTATTTTTTATGCAGAGGCTGCATAAAGGACAGGAATCTCAGTCCTGCTGAGTGAAAATAAAAGAGAAACAATACATACCACTCGACATAGTTCCTGAACATCATGTTGCATGAAGCTGTCTAAAGTCTCCCATCTTTATTAAAAACAAAACAAAAAGCACCACTTATAAAACGGTAATATTTGAAAGAAACCCAGAAGCATCAAATATGTCTGATTCAGTGCACACACACAAAAAGGACATATTACAATGAGATTAGCTTTGAAGCATTTGGGAATTCAGTTAATCTCTTAATGAATCACCAAAGCCTGCATTTTGCTCTGTTCTCAACGGTTGTTGGCCACATGTACACACACTGCAAAACCAATTTTCTGTTGGAAAGAAAATCGTTAACTGTAGCTTAACCTTACACCAAGGAGGCCGTGCAGCTGACCCAATGAGGTGTCAAATGAAAGAAGAAAGGTATCTAGCAAAACAGTCTGCTGTAACAAACACAAGAGTTAAAAATAAAAGGCAAAGGTTGATCTACGATAATAAAAATTGAATGAACATAAACAGTGGACAGCAAACAAGAATCTCTTATTAATCTTGCGAATATTCTGCGTGAAACCGCCTGGCACAATCTCCTCTGACTGCATGCATTGCAGAATGGTTTAAGAATCAGACAACAATTCTGGTTAAGGAATTTTCTCCAGGAAGTTCTGGGAAACATTCTGTCTTCAAGTGAGGTCATATGTATGGTGTTAGTTAGGATCCCTTCCATTAAGCAAAGGCCACCTGCAGCCAAGGGGGAAAAGGCCACATTCCCTTAGCTGTAAGAATGTCCTAATGTCACAAATTCATTGTTACTTTAAAGCAGGGGTAGGGAGCCAGGCTGGCTCAGAAATTCTGGGAGTTGAAGTCCACAAGTCATACAAAATAACTTTACAAATAACTTTGTTGTGGTCGTAGACCAGCAATAGCCATCACTTTTTACAATATATTAAATAATAATAACAACAACAACAATAATAAATAAAAATAGTACTGACATTAATAGTAAATAATAACATCCCTGTTAAGAAAATACATGTTCTCAAAACTAGGGGTCACTCCCTAGTTTACGTGAGTGGATAGCCGATTAGTGTGTGAGTAAATATAATGTTCCAAACATTATTAGAGATATCGCCAAAAAATTGGCACAAATTGATGGCTATAGATCTGTAACCAATTTTTTTCTTGTAGACATGGCCGCAGCAAAGTATTTTGCCACTGCATGCGTGATAGAAGGGTTTGAGTCCTGGAGGAGAAAGCCTAAATAAAAATTGTCTGCCCTCCCTGGTAATCTCTCTAATAAGGGGAGAATATATACTGTCCTATAAACTCGGTATAACTCACAGTACAATAAAACATGTGAGATATCTTCTCCTTTATCACATATACGTACCCGTTCTGCTATTGGTGTTCTCTTAAACCTGCCCTGTAGGAGTGCTGAGGGAAGAATGTTAAATCTGGCTCTGAAGAAACCTGTTCTTTGTTTTGGGAAAGTCAGATCATTCATAAAAGAGCCACGGTTCCCCACCCCTGCTTTAAAGTAATGAATGGCACCTACTTGCCCCTGTGAATCAGACCTGCTCCTTTCTGCCTTCAGGTGATGCTCAAGAATGACAGGATGTTGATAACAGGCTGTTAAGGACTTCGGAATGAGGTTTTTTTTTTGTTTTTTTTGCTGTAGGCATTGCTTTAAGATGCAACAAAACTAACTTAAATTACTTACCTCCATCAGGCCCCAGGGCATAGCCACATTTATTCAGTGCCAGAGTGCGCTAGGTGCTGCACCTAAGTAGTGCTGCAATGTTTAATTGATTAAAAGAGGTTTCATTGTTATGATTAGGCACATGCTTCCTAATTAAGCCAGCAAGCTTTTTTCAAAAAACAAAACAAACCCATTGTTTCTGCCTGTTTGCAAGTTCAATCAATACACAGATTAAGACTGGTAGGGGTTAATCAATTAAACATGCTTCAGTTTTGCTGCAGCCCTTACAAGGTACCATCTGCACTCACAAAAGGTACACAATTTAAAAGAGACCAGAAAAACCGCTTATGAAAACTCCCAGAAACTTCTGTTAATCACTTAGCGGGGCAAGAGCTCTTGGAAACCTTTCCAACACTTACCCAAAAGATTTTGTTAGCTTCTTAGTTCCTACTGGTTTGTCGCTATGTTGTAGTTCATAGAACACTCTCTGCAAGGCTAAAGGAACACTTTTCGAGGAGTCATCTCCTTCGGTAGGCATCATATATACAGCCTAAAAAACACATATAACTTGAGTTTAGAACAGTGGTTCTCAACCTGTGGGTCAGGACCGCATTTGGGGTCGAACGACCATTTCACGGGGGTCGCCAAACAATGCAGTCCGCCATTTTTCCCCCCTTTTCCTTAGCTGTGCTACTCCCTTTTATTCTATTGGCTTTTGAAAGCCAATAGAAGAGACTCTCTTGAATAGAGTCTAATTCTATTGGCTTTCCAAAGCAAATAGGAATTGTCCAGGCTGTCTCTGCCCTGCTGAGCCCGCCAAAAGTCCCATTCTGCAAACAGTGCTGCACCAGTTGAGTAGTCCTCGACTTACGACCGGTTGAGTAGTCCTCAACGTATGACCGGTTGGGGGTCACGGCATTAAAAAGGTTGAGAACCACTGGTTTAGAGTCTCTAAACAAGTCCCAATGTTTTTGTTTTTAATGCCATGTCCCAAAGGTGTTTTTTTCTCCCCCCAAAAAAGGCAACTGGACTTTGTTTTTCCTTGAAGATGTTTCACTTCTCATCCAGGAAGCTTCTTCAATTCTTCAGTTCTGAATGAGAACCGAAGAAGCTTATTGAATGAGAAGCAAAACATCTTCAGGGAAAGACAAAGTCAGTTGCCTTTTGGAAAAAAAAGCAACTTTGGGACAACCATGACCTGGGTGACTGAGAATCTCCATAGACATTTTGTCTTTTAATCTAACGGCTGGTTCCCTCTGGTGGCTTGCTGACCAATTCAGTTAAATATTTATTTATTTATTTATTTATGAGACTTATATACCGCTTTAAGTGCAAGCACTCTCTAAGCGGTGTACACCAGTAAGCAATGTATATATATATTTACATTGCCCCCAACAATCTGGGTCCTCATTTTACCTACCCCGGAAGGATGGAAGGCTGAGTCAACCTTGAGCCGGTGAGATTTGAACCGCTGACCTGCTGAACACAGTCAGCTAAAGTGGCCTGCAGTACTGCAGTCTAACTGCTGCGCCACCTTTGCTCTTGAATACACCTGAACAACCTGCTTTGAGATATCCAACAAGTTCACCCAGGCTGCTGACAGTGAAAGGTTGTTTACATCAGACAGTCGATCTTTGAGACCCGAACTATCACTAAACCAGCATCCTGTTTGAGCCTGGGAAAACAGCACTTAAGACGTCGCTCAGCTCAATTATATGACATGGGATTAGGGATGGAGTGGAGAAAGGAGTTCCTGAACAAGACTGCCTTTCATATTGCTTTACTTTTGACTTATGTCCAGTCTTTATTCCCCACATATCCATGATCCTGGGATGCTGTTATAAAGATGGATCAAATAGACTTCAAACCAGAATTGTTTCTGTTAAGAATAATAGGAGCTAACTATGAGAAGGAGAGCGGATATCTAATATTACATGTATTAACAGCAGCAAGAATTGTATTTGCCCAATATTGGAAAAATGAAAACTTACCAACTGAAGAAGTATTAATTAAAAAAAATTCTAGAGGGTGCAGAAATGGATGGATTGACTTTAGAAAGAAAGAAAATTCAGTTTACTTTAGAACATGGGATAATTTGTATCAATGGCTAGAAAAACGACTCAGAGAGAAAGGAATGGAATATGTAATTTTGAATACATACTAGTAAGAAGGATGACATGGAGCGATTAACTAATATTGTCTAAGATAACTAACCATGTTTATTGTTATCACTTAGTATTATATCTATTATTATTGTTTAAATATATGTACCCAGACAATTTGCTGTTTGCTAAATATTGAAAATGTTACATGGGGAAACCCCAGCCTTGACCCCAACCCTAACCTAGACCCCAACCCTGACCCCATTTTACCCTTAACCTCATAAAAACTAATAAAACTTTTCAAAAAAGATGGATCATTCGGACTCGCAAGGTTTCACAAATTTCAAACTGGACCAAGGTCCACTGTTAAACAAAATTGGCCATCTGATGGCCACCCAAGTCATTCTCATGAAAACCCGAGAGAAATGCCGATTTTTCAGCTCAAGCGAGAACCCTCGGCTCCCCTTAGGTCACTCTCTCAACTGCACAATTTTAGTAAAAGGTAAAAGAGGTCACTGCTGACTCTAGTGGGCAATGCTCATCTCCATTTCAAGGCCATTGGGCCAACTCTGCCTGAAGATTATTTCCACGCTCATGTGGCCAGCATGACGTCACGGAATACTGTTACTTTCCCACCAAAGTGGTACCTATTTATCTACTTACATTTGCATGCTTTCGAACTGCTAGCTGTGCAGGAGCTGGGGTGAGGACGGGAGCTCACCCTGTCACGTGGCACTCGGGTCTCAAACCTGGGTTGCTGGCTTTCCAGCCGACAAGCCCAGCATCCTAACCGCTGAGCCACCGCACCGCCCTGCACAGTTCTAGGGGAGGAGTCCAAGTGCATCTGAAGAACACCAAGAGATACAGTTGTGCCTAATTCCAACTGAGGCGGTGCCTCAAGCAGGGCTCCTGAAGCGCGAGGCAGACCGTGACTATCTACTCCACATAGCTGCTTGTTTTGGCACTCGCTCCCTTGTCGAGCAAATTTCGATCCTGGAAGCCTCAAATGGGGGATGTTCAGCTTCTAATCTACCTAGATCTGCATTACACTTCCCCCCTAGATCTGCAAATCACTTCCCTCCACCTCTTGGTCAGATGCTTGTAGAAGAAGTGTGCTGAAGACGGGATTTCTATGGGATACCCTTTCAAGTCTGAGGGAAAATAAAATCCACTTGCTCTCACACTGGCCGATGTGCTCTTTTATCCTACCACACTCACACTTTGCTTTATATAGCAGGCTGAATTGGGTCAAAATTTAGGAGAATGTTTGCAATAGATTATGCCGCCCTTCTTCCCTCTTACATACAAGCCATACAAGATATGATGAGTAGGATAAGTATGCTTTGCAATCTCCTAACTGTGCTCTACAAAATAAAATGGAAAATTTCTGTCTGCAAGAATTTGATAGTCAAGGGTTTCCAGAGCTGCTGCAGAAGTAAGGAGATATTTATTACCCAGAACTGTACCTTATTGGTTTGGTTTCAAGAAACACCGTGAGTCAACTTTGGAGAATGAATGGAGCTCAGTGACTGACCACTTGCTCTGCATATGGACATTTGTGAACCTGCGATGTAAGGTAGGAAGGATAGTGGAAGTCTACCGACAGAAGGTTCTGGGAAGCGATGAGAACAACCGTGGACCTAGCCAAGGACCCTAAGGAGATTAACAGGTGAAACTGCAAAAAGTAAAATTAAGCGTGACTTAATTGATGAATGGGAGAACAGAACCCAATAATTCATAGAGGACCTGCTATGCTATCTAAGCCTAAACAGATCAAAAGAAGATCAACCAGGCTCAGGTGTTGTGGTTCCGGCTAATGAAACATTCCAAAGAACTTCCAGGCATTTATTTTCCTAAAAGTCTTTTATTGTTACAAAATGCCCGCACAGGCACAACAGGAGGGATGCTAGGATCTAAGTTCTCTTCCTCTGAGCAGTTAAATTATCAGCATGTTCCCTCCCTAAATTAGTCATATCTCACACTATCTAATTAGTGTGAAGGTCAAATGTTTTCTTCCTCTTTCTTTCCCCCGGGCTTTACCCCCAACGCCCCTTCTGCTCTTTATTAACCCCATATTTACCGGACAATTCTGCATATTGTCAAAAGCAAGAATATACAACATTTGCAGCGTTGACATTAGGTTTGACTGTTCAACAAAATACTTCTAGCAAACCCCCCCCCAAAAGTCAGCCCCCCTTTTCAAAATCCTGCTTTTAAGGGTGGCACATCTACAAAGACCTGAAAGACAAGGATGAGAGCAGTGAACAGCACATGACCAGGGGAACAAGACTTATTTTTTATCTGTTTATTAATTAAATTTCTGTACCGCCCATCACACTGGCTGAACAGCCTTAAACAGTATGAGATTCATACTGGCTCTCCTTTAATAGGTTTAAGGCCAGGGAAAAATGGGCAAAATATAGAAAACTAAGACAACTTGAGCCCACATTTATTAGTGAATATGTTAATGCAGGATCTCTGTGGGCTGTCTGAATTTCTTTCTTACTGAAGTCCTACTTGACAAGCCGATGTCGTGCTTAAGAGGCGAAATGGAAATGCCCATGGCTTCTGGTTTTTCAGATTTCTGCCCAAGGTTCCAAGAAGTCCAGGTTGATTTTCTTCCTGGTTCTCAGGAACAGCTGTCTGCAATCGGACACTTCCAAAGTATTGGACTCTGGTTCCAAATGCCCTCAGCCAAAAAGGCCAAAGGAACTATCTGGGGTAATTAGTTTGCAAAAGCTGTCCTAGAGGTTGACTTTGTTGTTTCCTATCTAAGATCAAAGGACTAGAGATGGCAAATAGAGTGCTTTAAAAATGAGAAGCAAAAAATGTAGGGCAGGGGTTCTCTTTTGGCACAATGCCTAAACAATCAAGGCCCCCTCATTATTAACTGGAAAGACAATAACAAACCAAAATATGAAGCTTTCTGGGTATAAGTTGAAAAATAAAAGGGTAGGGTGGTTTGGCACTTTTTGTTGTTGTTGTTAATTGCGAAGTCGTGTCTGACCCATCGCGACCCCATGGACAACGTTCCTCTAGGTCTTCCTGTCCTCTACCATCTTCTGGAGTCCATTTAAGTTCACACCTACTGCTTCAGTGACTCCATCCAGCCATCTCATTCTCTGTCGTCCCCTTCTTCTATTGCCCTCAATCTTTCCCAGCATTAGGCCCTTCTCCAGTGAGTCCTTCCTTCTCATTAAGTGGCCAAAGTATTTGAGTTTCAACTTCAGGATCTGGTCTTCTAAAGAGCAGTCGGGGTTGATCCCTCTAGGACTGACCGGTTTGAACACCTTGCAGTCCAAGGGACTCGCAGGAGTCTTCTCCAGCACCATAGTTCAAAGGCCTCAATTCTTTGGCGCTCAGCCTTTCTTATGGTCCAACTTTCACAACCATACATTGCAACTGGGAAAACCATGGCCTGGACTATACGACTTTTGTTGGCAGGGTGATGTCTCTGCTTTTTAGTATGCTGTCTAGATTTGCCATAGCTTTCCTTCCCAGGAGCAAGCGTTTTTTAATTTCTTGGCACTTTTAGGGGCATAAAAACCCAAGAAAAACATATTCTTTGCTCGACTAAAGCACTCTAAATAAGGAAATAGGACAGCTGAGTGGGAGAAGGTAATTTGAACTGCTTGCTTTCCTCAAGAGTATGAGTGGAGCAACCATGAAAATCCAAACACTCTTCCTTATTGTGCTTCTGAGGGATCAAAGTTTCTGGGCTGAAAGAATCCTTGGAAGTTCCTGAAACTGGTTTATGACAGCATTTCCTGCTACCTCAGACATTCATATGGTGTGTGTGTGTGTGTGTGTGTGTGTGTGTCTTCAAGATCAAAAGCTCTCAAAAGACTCATCCTCCGTAAAATTTATTCCAACAGGTTCTAAAGCAGCGGTTCTCAACCTGTGGGTCGGGACCCCATTTGGGGTCGAATGACCATTTCACGGGGGTCGCCAAACCACGCTGTCCGCCATTTTTTTCCCTTTTCCCTAGCTGTCCTATTCCCTCTTATTAGTGGCCACACCCACTTGGGGGTCACCACAACATAGGGAACTGTATTATGGCGTCACGGCATTAGAAAGGTTGAGAACCACTGTTCTAAAGCCATCTAAGCCAATGGCCATGATTTGTGGTGAAGAGAATCCCAAAGGATAAAAGAGTTTGCATGAAGTTGTGCTTCCTTTTATCTACTCTTAATTCTTCTACCGTAGCCCGTTCTGGTTCTAATGTCTGGAAAAGTCCAAAAGGACCTCTATCTGTCCACTTTCTTTACGCTACAGGTGATTTTAAAATGCCTCTAGACCTTTTGAGGCAGTGTTTCTCGACAATTTTAAGGCATGTGGACTTCAATTCCCAGAATTCCACAACCAGCATTACTGGCTGTGGAATTCTGGGAGTTGAAGTCCACATGCCTTAAAATTGTCAAGGTTGAGAAACACTGTGGAGGCCTTCTGACAAACCAAGTCAATGGGGAAGCTGGATTCATTTAAGAACCGTGTGACTAATTTAAGAACTGCAGGGATTCGTTTAACAGCTGTGTCAAGAACAGTCACACAGGGCAAAACTCACTTCACAACCATCTCACTTAGCAACATAAATTTTGGGCTCAGCTGTGGTCGTACGTTGAGGACTATCTATAAAGGCCTTCAAATTTTCCAGCCTTGCCTCGCAGAGATATTTCAGCTCCCTGATAATTCTGCCTCTCTTTTTTGTGCTCTTTTCTTTCAAATGTGGAGATCTTACTGCATTTGTCACAGTAACTTAGTATTAACTCTGTCATGGGAGCATGGATGGGCTCCAGGCATAGAAAAAAAAAAGACACCAATAACATAAACATTTCCTTCTTAACTCCAAATACAGGTAGTCCTCAACGTGCAGCTGTTCATTTAGTGACTGTTCAAAGTTATAACGGCATAGAAAAAAGAGACTTATGACCGTTTTCCCCACTTAAGACTGTTGCAGCAACACCACGGTCACGTGATCAAAGTTAAGACATTCAGGCAACCGGCTCATATTTATGACGACGGCCATGTCCCAGCGTCATGTGATCCCCTTTTGTGACCGTTGGCCAAGCAATAGGGAAGCTACATTCACTTAACAAACCGGGTTACTTATTTAACAACTGCAGTGATTCACTTAAGAACTGTGGCAAGAAAGGCCGTAAAGTGGGGCAAAGCTCACTTAACAAATGTCTCCCTTAGCAACGGAAAATGTGGGCTCCATTGTGGTCGTAAGTCAAGGACGCCCTGCAGAGGGTGGATGGAGAGAAAACATCCCTTTCAGGAGCTCTTCACAGAAAAAAAAAAAAAGAACATCTCAGACAAGTTTTTACAATAAAAGATGGCTTTTCCTATCAGTTAGCATTTATCCTTTCTGTAAAGCAGGGGTTCTCAACCTTGGCAACTTTCAGACTTGTGGACTTCAACTCCCAGAATTCCTCAGCCAGCTTTGCTGGGAGTTGAAGTCCACAAGTCTGAAAGTTGCCAAGGTTGAGAACCCCTGCTGTAAAGTCTGAAGAAAACTTAAAACCCTGAGCAGTAAAAACTCTGGAAGAGGCTTTTTGCTCAAGGAAGAAATCTAACTTAAAACCTAAAGACAAAATTCACAAACAGCAGCCCCGTTAACGCTGTTTGTCTGAATAGGGAACGTGGGAGCTCGTGTCCATAATGGCATTGGGCGGCTCTGGGATGCAGTTTTGTCAGGGATAAAATGGCACTGCCCTCTTCCGTTCACTTATTTGAATCTCCATCGTCTTTGCTGCTGCTTCGCGGCGCTTGGAAAAGCCTTGCTTGTATGCACGAGTCACAAGACGAAGTCTGTGATGACTGTGCACAATCGCACGCCTCTTAATAGCAGGGCTGTCTCCGTGACATAAAGAGAATGCTATCAGTAGGGAGAAGAAGAAGAAAAAAATACTCCAGCACAAAACAAACAGGAGCTGCAAATTAAGATTCCAATGTGAGGTAACCACAAATATGGCATCTCGTAAGAGTCACCAGTAAGCTCAAATGCAGAAGCTACTGAAATAAACCCAGAGGAAGGCTCCTAATGTTTTTTTTTCTCCAATGCAATACGTAACAATATTGGTCAGCAGCAAAAGTCTTTAAGATAAAGATAAGATAATCTTTATTGTCACTTTTTCTGTGTACACACTGGCACACGATAAAAATGACATTCTGATGCCCTGTCTCAAAAGAATACATATATATATTTAGGTAGGTAAGCAGGTCGGTAATGGTGATGGATGGATAGACAGACAGACAGATACACATACCATACCCATAGACACATATACATGCTGTATGTTTGTATGTATACACACCCACACCCACATATATATATATGAATTACAGTCCATGTTGAATACATATTTACCTTTCGCAATTGGTTTGTGAAAAATAATGTCTGTAACAAACTGTTCATGTAGCAGGTTGCACCCTGGTTCTTCAGCCCCACATATCCGGTGTGCTTCTTGGAGTCCCATCTGGAACATTCATAGAATTGGGATATAAGAATTGCGCCTAGACACATTTTACACACTCATACACATACGTACTGAAATCAAGCTAGAAACTTGGTTTCCATCTCTGAAATCCAGCTGGTTTAAATTTAACTGTCAGCAAATCACACATCTGTTATGGAGCAATTAGGATAATAGTACACATGTTCAGAATTCTGAAATCTTTTCAAGATTTCGAACAAAGCAACAATAACAAAAAGAGAAATTAAAAACAAAGATATAGCAATTTCCAAAGAAAAAGTCACGTGTCTGAAAAATGAAAGCTGCTTAGAAGCTATGCTTCTGTGAAATGGAGTTGCCTGAAACTGAATTATTGAATATACCGCCCAAATTTACGATAAGCAACCAAGTCCATTACCAATTCTACAATACAGGTAGTCCTTGACTTATGGACACAATTGAGCCCAATATTTCTTTTGCTAAGTGAATCATTTGTTAAGTGAATTTTGCCCCATTTTGCGACCTCTCTTCACACATTGGTAAAGTGAATCACTGCAGTCACTAAGTTAGTAACCTGGTTGGCAAGTGAAATCTGGCTTCCCTGCTGACTTTGCTTGTCAAAAGGTTGCAAAAGATGAACATGTGACCCCCGGGACACTGCAACCGTCATAAATGTGAACCAGCTGTCAAGCGTCTGAGGGTAATCATGTGACCATGGGAATGCCACAGCAGTTGTAAGTGTGAAAAACGGTGCTAAGTCACTTTTTTCAGTGCTGCTATAACTTTGAACTGTCACTAAATAACTGTTGTAAGTCGAGGATTACCTGCACAACCAGTTCCTCTGGGAGAAGGACAAACTGAGACCTAGATAGGAGGAACCTCTCACAAGAAAACCTGCCTCCTGAAGTTGTGGGTGTTTCATCACTGGAGGCTTTCAGGAAAAGAGTGAACAGTCGTTTGTCTAGATCAGGGGTAGGCAACCTTGGCTCTTTTATGACTCGTGGACTCCAACTCCCAGAATTCCTGAGCCAGCGTGAGGGAACTATGGCTCCCTTGATGACTCGTGGACCAACTCCCAGAATTCCTGAGCCAGCATGGGGGAACTACGGCTTCTTCAGGACTCGTGGACTTCAACTCCCAGAATTCCTAAGCCAGCCATGCTGAGGGGAAAGGGAGAGGTTTCCAAGCTGAGCCATGCTGGCTCAGGAATTCTGGGAGTTGACGTCCACGAGTCATGAAGGGGCCATAGTTCCCCCATGCTGGCTCAGGAATTCTGGGAGTTGAAGTCCACCAGTCATAAAAGAGCCAAGATTGCCTACCTCTGGCCTAGGCCGCTTTATGACTCGTGGACTTCCAGAATTCCTGAGCCAGCATGGCTCAGCTTGGAAACCTCTCCCTTTCCCCTCAGCATGGCTGGCTCAGGAATTCTGGGAGTTGAAGTCCACGAGTCCTGAAGAGGCCAATGTTCCCCCCATGCTGGCTCAGGAATTCTGGGAGTTGAAGTTCACGAGTCATAAAAGAGCCAAGGTTGCTTACCCCTGGCCTAGTTGGTATGAGGATTCCTGCACTGATACTTGCGTGTGCATGTATGTGTGTGTGTATGTGTGTGTGTATCCCTCCTAGAAGAACTTGAAGGTCTTTCCAAGAAACCAACTCCATGTGAAGGATGAGCCTGTAATTATAATTCCCCCTTCTTCCATTTTATGTCAGTTCCTTAGATAGGGATTGTTTGTTAAACTTGCTAACCAATGTATTAGGCAAGTATTACATGTGAGAATGTGAGAAAGGTATGCATGGTTAAGGTCTTTGACTCAGTGAAAGAAATTTAAGGTGGAAAAATCTGAGTTGTTCCTCTCTTAACTCCACAATTAAAGAAATTGTAACATTTCTTAGAAATAACTCGTTAAGTCTGAAAAGGGAAAAACTGCAAAAGGAAAAAAGTTAAGCAAACTACTTTTTCCCCCCTCAAAGAAAGAAAAAGAGCAAAGGCTACTTACGCTACACCATGAGGCGCATCAGCTTGAACATAAACTTCAAAAGTTACTTTGTCATCTTCTATATAGCCTTTATCTGGATCAGTAACTTCCTACCAAAAAGGAAAGGAAAGGAGCAAAGGATTGAACCAAGAACATCAAAACCCTGGTCAGTCCCCGTAAGGCAGTGTTTCTCAACCTTGACAATTTTAAGGCATGTGGACTTCAACTCCCAGAATTCCATAGCCAGCATTGCTGGCTGTGGAATTCTGGGAGTTGAAGTCCACATGCCTTAAAATTGTCAAGGTTGAGAAACACTGCCGTAAGGGCTCTACACAAGTAGCCATTCTTGAAAGGTCATATTTCATTCTGAAGCTCAAGTCAATATAAACATACATCAATTTTTACCACTCAGCTCAAATGATACGGGGCTGTCTCAAGCTGTCAACCGATGGCCATTTCTATAAATCAGTGTTTCTCAACCTTGACAATTTTAAGGCATGTGGACTTCAACTTCCAGAATTCAATGCTGGCTGTGGAATTCTGGGAGTTGAAGTCCACATGCCTTAAAATTGTCAAGGTTGAGAAATACTGCTATAAAGCAATAGAAGCCACCGATAGCTGCACAACTGCAAACACAATTAGCTGGGAGGCTAGGAGGACTGGCTGGGAGCAACTTCTTCTATTACAGCACCTGAAACTGCTTTTTGTCTCTTCCTGATCTACAGAGCTGAGAGGGTATCCGTGAACACAAACTAATCTTTGAGCTCTGCATGTCAGGATGCTTTAATGAGAGTCATAAAGTTTCCTGGATTTCAGTTCTGAAAAATTACTTTACGTGTTTACGTTCCCAGTGATTGAGGGTTACCTTATTAATTGGTGACTATAAATTTAAGAATCAGTTATCGTTATCATTTTCCTCAATAGTTAAGATTAACCATTCAGAACACTGATTTCTACCCCGAAATCTGGACCAGTGTTTCTCAACCTTGGCAACTTGAAGGTGGGTGGACTTCAACTCCCAGAATTACTTAGTCCAGGCCATGGTTTCCCCAGTTGCAATGTATGGCTGTGAAAGTTGGACCATAAGAAAGGCTGAGCGCCAAAGAATGGAGGCCTTTGAACTAGGGTGCTGGAGAAGACTCCTGCGAGTCCCTTGGACTGCAAGGCGTTCAAACCGGTCAGTCCTAGAGGAGATCAACCCCGACTGCTCTTTAGAAGGCCAGATCCTGACGTTGAAACTCAAGTACTTTGGCCACCTAATGAGAAGGAAGGACCCAATGGAGAAGAGCCTGATGCTGGGAAAGATTGAGGGCAATAGAAGAATGGGACGACAGAGAATGAGGTGGCTGGATGGAGTCACTGAAGCAGTAGGTGTGAACTTAAATGGACTCCAGAAGATGGTAGAGGACAGGAAGACCTGGAGGAACGTTGTCCATGGGGTCGCAATGGGTCGGACACGACTTCGCAATTAACAACAACAACAAAGAGGGGAGGGAAGATAAGGTAGCCAAGCTAACCACAACTCCACTTCAACTTCGACCTGGGTTGTAATGTGTTCTAGTCCAGGGGTCTCCAACCTTGGCAACTTTAAGACTTGTGGACTTCAACTCCCAGAATTCCTCAGCCAGCCAAGCTGGCTGAGGAATTCTGGGAGTTGAAGTCCACAAGTCTTGAAGTTGCCACGGTTGGGGACCTCTGTTCTAGTCCATCCAATCTGGAATGAGCCAACTTGCCGCAGGAAACCTCACCGCAGCCAATTCGCCAGGGGGACAATTCAAATTAATTATTTAAAATAATTAAAAAATATTTTAATGTTCGTCATTCACATTTCATTTTGTCCCCTTCTTTGGCATTCCTTTTTCACGATTCATTTCTTCAATATTACAACTCTTATCCCGCAGTGAGCTAGCTGGCCTGTGGCGAGTTGTCCTAGACCCCGTCCAATCTGCCTCGCCTCCTTCCTCCCCCAAGTGGCAAGCAGTTACTTACACTCCAAGACATAAAATTGGAAAAGCCCCAATCGTTTTCCTTATGAAAGAACAAGTGGCTGATGCGACGACTGAAAGACTTCTCATCGTCCTTGTAATTTATTATCTTGAGGACTGCCTGCGCATGACAAGACCATGACCTGCAACAATTAGAGAGATAATACTTGACACACTGTGCTGCAGAAGAGCCACTCATAAATTACATTTTACTGAGCAAGCCTCTTCATTTCTTCTCACTCCTGGATGTAAAACTTTCCTCCGGTAACCTCTCAGGAGTGGTAGCCATTATTAATATCCTGGAAGAAAGCTGTTTATTTTATTTCATTTTTTATGTCTTCCCACATAAATTTTCCATCTCGTTTCATTATTTTCTTCTACAGATGGTTACAAACGTTACTCCTTTCAAGGAGCAACATATCTCCTCGAAAACCTGTATTTCTATTGACTAATAGCAAATCATAGTAATAAAAAAAATTAAAAATCACACAGAAAAATAATCTGTTCATTTAATGGGAACACTAAATTGCATTTAGTGGGAATATGAAAAATTAATCCTACTTAGGTGAAACTTTGAGTGTAAATTCACAAATAAGGTGAAAGTAAATTCTGCACTTGTTTTCATCTTTTGATTTTATCTCAAAGTCCAGCCTCCAGAGAATAACAGGAAGTAAATAGTCAAAATAAGTAGTCAAAATATTAAAGGAATTGGATCGCTCACTTTGTATCCTATTCTGTCTTGTTAGAACTGCAAGGCTTAAAATGTAAATGAGTAAAATTGAACAACCAGCTAAATAAATACATGACAATCATGTAATTTTTTTCAAAGAATTTTTATTTTCTTCATAGCTCAAAATCATACCTGCCAAAACTATGGCGATTTCAGCTTTATATTTTAAATGAAAGGACAAAAGGAAAAATTCTCTAATTTAACCTTCCTGTCTGCTGAAGGGCTTCTACATTTAATTACTGTCTTTATAAAAACTGTAGCTGTCAAATATTTCAACACAAACAGGTCATTCTGCAGAGATGCGTTCACTACTAGTATCTCTCATCAGAATTATCTGCGTTCGTTTATCCAACCTAAAATTCAGTGTAGTGCATCTTTACATGGTTGTGTTTACTGTAAAAAAAAAATTAATACTTACCTTCATTTGAAGTCCAGATTAACCATTTGTAAAGGTTGTGGGAAAGTGTTTACGTTCCCAGTGATTGAGGGTTACCTTATTAATTGGTGTCTATAAATTTAAGAATCAGTTATCGTTATCATTTTCATCAATACTGTATATTCCGGTGTATAGGGCGACCCGGCGTATAAGACGGCCCCCGAGTTCGACGCCAAGTCGCAAGACAATCGACGCCGAGTCGCATGCCTAGAAAGTCGTCTTATACGCCAGAAACTACCTTATTTCTGGCGTATAAGACGACCCCCAAGTTCAGCGCCTGTTTCAACGCTCTCAAAAGTCGTCTTATACACCGGAATATACGGTAGTTAAGATTAACAATTCAGAACACTGATTTCTACCCCGAAATCTGGACCAGTGTTTCTCAACCGTGACAACTTGAAGGTGGGTGGACTTCAACTCCCAGAATTGCCCAGTCGGCCATGCTGGCGGGGGGGATTTTGGGAGTTGAAGTCCACCCATCTTCAAGTTGTTAAGATTGAGAAACACCGGTCTGGACTGAAACAAATCCCTGTTCTCTGAGGCTACCAACACTATAACTAACATCCAACTTTCGGAAGTGACAACTAAGTCCTCTTTGTGTCTGGAAGTTGAGTCATGGCAACTGGACTTCTTTTCTGTCTGGTTTGAAACGTTTCACGGTTTATCCATCTTCTTGGATCTGCTCGCATAAGCAGGAAAACATTTCAAACCAAAAAGGAAAGAAATCCACTTGACTCAACTGCCAGACAACTCTGGATGGCTGAGAATCTTCATCGACATACGTCCTCTGAATATATGCACACCTACAGCACTGTTCCCATTTGGCCCCTTCCTGCTGATGCCCCGCAGGCTGGATGGATTATCTCCTACCGGGCAACAGATCCACGTGCAGAAGATTTTGAGGCGCTTGCATTCAAGAGAGGTGCCGTGTATCAATTCATAAAAGGACTTACGTGGAATCGGACTCAGCGTTGCACTGAAGAAAGAATCCTACGCTCTTTTGGTGTGGCCGGTCTGGGTAAAGCCGTGGCATCACCATGATCTTCCAGGGCAGGTTCCGCACAAAACAGGGGGGGCTCAGGACCGACTCGCTCAGCCGATTGAAACGCTCAACCGTGAACTGAAACGTCGCCTCTGACCGCCAGCTTGTGTCTGCAAAATAAGGGAAGAAGCGTTCCTAGAGTCTGCGGCCTCGGCTGTGGGATTCCAACAAGAGAATTTAGACCCGATGAACATCACCGATGCACTAGTCCTTGAATTATGACCTGTTGCTCGGGACCGTCCAACGTTAACGATAAAAAGGTACATATCACCGGGATTCAAAGTTCTAGTGGCTGGGGCCCCTGCAGCCACACGATCGCATGTTGGGTGCTCAGCAACTAGCCTGCCTTCCCAGCCGTTTGCCGCATCTCACAGGTCATGTGACTGTTTTGCAATGGGTTTTTTGGGGGGGGCAGGACATTACAATCGTCGTCAATATGAGCCAGTTACCAAGTGTCCAAATTTTGATCATGGGGATGCTGAAAAGGAGTGTAAGTGTGAAAAACAGTCATGATTCCCTTTTTTAATGCTGTTTCCTAGCCCAGGACAGGCGTGGTAAGTTTGGCTGACTTGGTCTAATGGGCAGGAAGACAGAGCTAACCCATTGGTGGATTCTCCATCTCCTGTGCTGGAGGGGGGGGGGAGGTAGGACATGCCTCTACGAAAGCTTTACAACTTGTAGGTTTTTATCCTGCGGCATCGTTATAGACATAATAAGCTTTCTAGTATAAATATGATTTAAAAAAATAACATACACTTGTACTGTAATATGGCTGCTAGTTAAATCATTTCTGCACGATTTAGGTTTATTCACCCAAGGCTACCAAAAACTCCAGCACATTGGAAGTGAGGAGGACATGAGTCAGCTTCCAAAACATCACACACATTGTTTAGGTAAATCAGGAGTCATTTTAATTTGAACTTTGTGGCACTTTTTAAGGAAATAGAGTAACTGGTCATAATGCAAACTTCAATAAATGTATTAATGCAGTGGTTTTTTTTTTTTCTAAAAAAAAAGGTGCCAGAACTCACACATGTCATAAAACCCGCCTTGCCTATCCTACAAGGTTCCATCCAAAAAAGGTGCCGGAACTCTGTTCTGGGCATTCTATGAGAAAAAAAGCCCTGAATGCAGGAGTCTTCCAACTTGGCCCTTTGATGACTTGTGGACTTCAACTCCCAGAATTCCTCAGCCAGTCATGCTGGCTGAGGAATTCTGGGAGTTGAAGTCCACAAGCAGGGGTCTTCCAACTTGGCCCTTTGATGACTTGTGGACTTTGCCTATCCTACAAGGTTCCATCCAAAAAAGGTGACTACAAGTTGTTTATCCATCATGTAGGGAAGTATTTTGTTTTCCCTACTCTAAATCTACCATTAATTTAATTTCATAATTCTGGATTATGAAAGAGGAAGAAAACTTTTATCTGTGTTGGCTGTGATTTGTTCTCCAAGCTCGTTTTAATATAATTCCTGAACGTTTCGTTACCAAACTAGATAATCTAATCAGCAGGATTTTCTTGTCCTATTCTCCTTAGCTTATTCACAGCCAAAATCTAAAACCCGAGCTACAAGTATTTTCTATTATTTCGAATTTATCTGTTTTATCCACTACAAGCTACACCTTCAATGTTTCAGAAGTTTCCTTCCCCAGGTAGGTCTCAGTAACTAGCATATCATCCCCCAGGGACTACTTGCTGAAGAAAACAAAACCAGCTTTCCACATCACCACCAAACGGAGAGCAAGTTAACTCACCATCTTCCATGTCTTCTTCTGTGTTATTGTGACCATCAGCCATGGCTACATTCCCATTGATGACTGGATTTGGGGTAATTCTTGGTGGATCATCGGCATCTCCAGCTTTTGAGGACAAAGAAAACAGAAACACACCAATAAATCTGGATTGTGCCAGAAGAGCGGACCAATATATCCAAAGAATGGATAGAGCAACATCTTGATATGCTGAGTTGGCGGTACTAATGTTACCATGGGGAAGGTGGGGTGAGGGCAAGCCAAGGCAGGGGGCAATAGCTAGGGCAACTTTATATATAAATTCAAAAAATAACAATAGCATTAAATAGCCACACAACTGTAACACACAATCAATATTCATCTTACTAGTTCACTTGAACTGTCTCTTCATTACATAAAAGGTAATGAACAGAACTGTTTATCAGAAGATAAATAATGTTTGAAAATATTCCCCTTCTAGCTCCTGTTCAAGCTTTTAGCTCAAGCTTCTCCCTCTTGAGCAGGGGGCTGGACTAGAAGACCTCCAAAGTCCCTTCCAGCTCTATTCTATTCTATTCTATTCTATTCTATTCTATTCTATTCTATTCTATTCTATTCTATTCTATTCTATTCTATTCTATTCTATTCTATTCCATTCCATTCCACTCCACTCCACTCCACTCCACTCCTGCAAATTATACTTCTAGCGTTATCATCTCCCCCCCCCATAACATTTCTGTTCATATTAATAAAATACTTCACCTCATTTTTCTGGAAAGTAACCCCAAAGAAGAAAATAATAAACACTGACACAACTTTTTTTGACAGCCTGTTGCTTCTCATTTTGTTTTTACAATAACACCAGCTTATTCTTGAAAAAACAACTCAGAATTATTATTGTTAAAAGTTGTCCAATCATAGATTTACATCATTTTCACCCACTGTGTGATCTGGCAATCAATGTAAAACTAATATGCTCTTTTCTCCCCATTATATGTCAAGCATCTAGCCTTCAAAAGATATTCAGCACCCAGGACAGAGCTTTGATGGCCTTCCTTATACAGTACTTATCACCAAAGTTATATTACTACAGGTGCTGGCTTCAATGATCATAGGGAAAAACACAGCGCCGAGTGTAAAAAAATAAAACCAAAAAACCAAAAACCAATGTTGGCTTCAGAAAGCATGCTATGTCTTTTGGGAAAACTGTAAAATTTGCTAAGCACATATTTTATGCATTTAAAATGAGTGAGAGTGAGAAGACATAGATGAGGCCTCTAAATCAACCTTGTAAAAATGTAGAACCTTTCATTATCCCTATAGCCAAACATGCTAACCAACACAAGAGTCGTATTTGCCAGGAAGACTGCATAAAGAATTAAACCATCCATATCTTTGTGCTGCCATATTAACACAGAGTTATTTTTTTCCAGAAAAATAGAAGAGCCAGCTGTATATAAATTATAGTTTGGCCCTTTAGTATTCTGGAGCTGAATATTCATTAATATTCTTTTTTCCACCACTGACCTGTTTTGTTTTTTTTTGCTTTGAAAAGTTTTCAAAATTACTTGGTTATGCCCTAACATTTTATTATTTGATGAAGTATCTCCAAAATGCAAGGTCTTATTTTCCCTTACAGGAATGGAAGTAATGGATTTCGTTTTTAATTCACAATTTGTTAGACAGTAACTACTTTTTCATTATTCTTACAAAGGAATACCCTTTTGTTCAGGAGAGGCTTTTCACTACAACTCTCACTATCCCTAGCCGTCACAGAAATTGCCCACCATACCTGGAGGTTACTAGGAAAGGCTATTCTATTTAAAGCTACTTTATTATTACATGTAGTCCTTGATTTACGACTGCGATTGACCCCAACATTTCTATTACTAAGCGAGACATTTGTTAAATGAATTTTGCCTCACTTTACAACCTTTCTTGCCACAGTTGTTAAGTGAAATCACTGCAATTGTTAAATTAGTAACACGGCGGGGTTAAGAGAATCTGGCTTCCCTGGGGATTTTGCTTGGGAGAAGGTAGCAAAAGGGGATCACGTGACCCCAGGACACTGCGACCGTCATAAATATGTTCCAGTTGCCACGGGCCTGAATTTGGATCACATGACCATGGGGAGGCTGCAATAATCGTTAAGTGTGAAAAGTAGTCCTAAATTGTAACTACGAACGGTCACTAAACAAATGGTTGTAAGCCGAGGAGACTGCATATAAGGGAAACTAGCTCTGATTCCTTCTGGAGACTGACAGGTATTATGGTATGTATCCTTCGTCGGTTTTCTCAAGGGTCGACATACCCAGCAAGTCTGCTGTCTCCTTACAGCCTTTGGCTTCTGATAGGGATATGCTAAACCTACTGATTTGGTAATGGAGCATTGCAGAGTCTGGAACATGGCAAGCCGTCTCGTGGATGGAGAATAATCCACTCCCAAATCAAGCGGATCTGGTACATCCCTCAATACAGATTTTTGCCCATCTTTATGAGTCGGCTTTACAATCCATTCCAGTTTGTTACAATCCTTCTCAAGATGCAGCGTCCAGAACTCCATGCAAAATGTGGTGAAAAGAGCATCCCGAAAAGGAAGATGGGATGTTTTCCCCCTTCCAAATAATTTGGGGAGAAGTCACCTTATACTGATGAGAAGAGAAGACAAATCAATAAGAGGGCTGCAACATCTCTGCTGAAAAATGTGAGTGCCTCTGAAGACTGCTCTGGAAATTAACCCGTCGCTTTGCCAAGGCAGTTCGCCAGAGTGAATATAGTCTGTTAAAAATGCCTAAATACATTATGTTCTTCTTCTCTTCTCTTCCTCTCTCTTTTTCACTCTTTCTTGTCTAAGTATCACTTTTCATAATCACAACTTTTTTTTTCTCTTGCATTGTTGTTTTTCTTTTTTCTTTTTCCCCTTTTGGGGAGTCCCCTCCCTTTCAAATGCATGGTACTTTCTAGCCCAGTGTTTCTCAACCTTGACCATTTTAAGGCATGTGGACGACAACTCCCAGAATTCCACAGCCAGCATTGCTGGCTGTGGAATTCTGGGAGTTGAAGTCCACATGCCTTAAAGTGGTCAAGGTTGAGAAACACTGTTCTAGCCCTTCTAATGCACCGTTTGCCATAGTCATCAGCAGCTTTTCCAAGATTCTCTTGGCCCATGTTATTAGCGAGCCAGACACTTCACACCCTACAGTTAAAACTTTTATTTCTTTTTCCTGAAGGCACCATGTGGTCTCTGGAGTCTATTCTGGCCCTTAGAACTAAAAAGTGGTGGAACAAAATCCCCTAATTCTGAAACAAAATAACCAAGATGCTAGTGAAATGTCACACCAGGCCTAATAAAAGTTTAATAATAATAATCCCCAACACCAAAGGAAAAAAAAAACAGCTATAAACCAGAAGCCTAGTTACTATGGTTCAGGTTCTTAAAAATGTAAATGGAACACAGCCATCAAATGTTATACCTCTAACCCAGTGATGGCGAACCTTTTAGAGACCAAGTGACCAAAAACTGCCCCGCCCCCATCGCTCCGCCTCGCCCGTTCCTCCACTGTCCCGCCCCACCTGCCGGGCCACCCACCACCTCCACCGCACATTGCTCAGGCGGTCCTGCAGTGCCGTGGTGGCCACGCCCTCCACCCGCGCCCCGCATCATCTGTGCGCGAGGGGGCGCAAGGATGGAGTCTTGTCTCTACTGCCCAGCTGCCATGTGCTTGGCTGCACTGCTCCACACCCAGGGGTGACTGTCCTCCGGGGGGGGGGCTACTGAGGAGGAGGGGGCCGCGGAGGGAGGGGCAATGGCACACATGCCATAGGTTCGCCACCACTGCTCTAACCTAAGTGAGAGTTCTTCATTGCCTCTCTAGCGGGGCTGGCCTTGTTTTTCCAAGTAGCTGCTACAAGCCATTAACTATTACCGCCACGACTGCCAGGGGGTTGATGAACATTGTCAAACACTGACTGCCGCGGTTAGGGGTTGGTTATCTTTGTTCCTGTAAACTCCGTTGACGACAAGAACCTGCCCCTCCCTCCGCCCCGCGTGGGCTCCCACTAAAATGGACATTCCACCAACACCTTGCGAGCGCGACTGCCGGGTGTAACGGGAAGGAGGGAGGGGGCTAGGGGGGCTTGGGCTTTGGTGGCCTCTGAGGGGGTAACGTTACACCTCTATTAAATCCATTCTATCGTTTTTACCTCACTTCCCAAGTTTATTTTTTTTAAAAAAAAAAATCTTAGGGTATTAGCTATCTCTTCGGTTTTATGTTATATATACCAAATAAATTTTTGTTGTACTACAATTCCAAATTGACTGCCCAAAAAACAATGCCTTTTGCATTTAATCTATAGCACTAGTCAAAAAAATGAAAACAAAACAATACATAATACGAAGCAATAAAATGATTGTAGGACTCCACAAGCTATGCAAGTAGAAAGCCTTTTCAAGAGCTAAGGTTAAAAGATGAAACATGTTTTCAAAAACCAAGGGCAGTAGTGTCCGAAGATCACTTTAACAGTGCTTATTTCACATTTGATATGGCATAAGAAAAGTCCTTTTATGTAGCACTGATTTACAGAAATCTCCGAGATACGTAAAATGCAATCTAGCAAATATCAGTCATTTGGGTGGTTGAAATCTTGATAGTAAGACCCCTCCCTTCGAGACCCATGTTGTTCATGATGGGAAAGATGAACTAACACTTGAGATCAGAAAATCTTAGAAGAGCAATACATATTGGGAAAATAAAAATCTCCAGACGATTCACAGATTGGCAACCTAATTGTTATAATCTGCACCTATGCCAAAAGCGTGTTTTTCTTATTTCAGATGGTTCGCTAAAAAAAAAAAAGGCACACTGAATAAGCATTAAGTTGCTTAATGTAAGTAGTAAATATAGCCATATCAAGGCCAAACTTCCACAGACGTGTTTGCTAACACCTCCAGATAAATTTTCATTATCTCAAAATAGCTGTCTTAAGTACAAAAGTAGTTATAAGAGTAACTGTAGAAAAGGGAGCTTGGATTTTTCTGGTGAAAAACAAAACAAAACACACCTCCCAAAGCCTCTTTCTCATACAAATCCCGTACCCAATCAGTCTCAGCCTCTAAAAAGCTACTGCTG